TATTCCAGAAATTGAAGGAAAACAGTATACCTTGTAAGACTTGCTGGGGGCCAGGATCTGAAGCCTTGTGAAGTGTACAAAAGGTGTGTAGACCCTGTGCACGCACACACAGCATCGCTCATACTGCTTTGCAGACTGGCTCACCACACTGTTTAATAAATGCCTACTAGGTGCCAACCAGTCTTCTCAGCTTGGAGGATTCAAAGATGAGTAAGAGGAAGTTGCAGCTTAATTGTGATTTTTAGTCTAGTGGGCAGGGTGAAGACAATAAAAATAGAAGAGGAACTTCACATGAAAAAGTAATGAACTTGGATATCTTTTCTTGACCCACAATATTAACAATACCATATGGTGTACTTAAGTAATCCTGAAATAATTTTCTCATGGAAGAACTTCCTAGCAGTCTAAGAGGAGGAAAACACTGTATACTGTGTGTCCTTTCTCTGTGGTAACTCTGGTTAATGAGAGTGTGAAAAGCAGATGTTAAGAAATGAGTTTTGGGAATGTACATGGCTTTTTTATTAACTCTCAGGGTTTCCTATGGTGCATCTCTTCACGTTGCCAACCTCTTCCTCCTTGGTCCTGCCTAACCTCTCAGGGTTACCTGAGCTGTATCTAGAATCACGTACACTAAACACACTGTATGTGTGTTGTGAAAAGCAGAATTCTCTGTAACTATATAAGGACAGTGCTAAGTGTTTCTGAGTTTGAGCAACTCCTCCCAAACATTCTTACCTGGTTGTCCAGTAGTCACATCCAACAGCCCTCCCACCCTGCCTTCTGCAGCCTTATTCTCGTCAGGGCTCCTCACTGTGGCTTCTGGGATCTCTGTCTGAGCCACTCACACTCGGAACCTCTGCCTGAGGTCCCCCTGCTCATCTCCTTTTTTAATCCCCGTCTCTAATGCATTTCGAAGTTAGGTGGACTTTACCTTTACCTTTACCCCTGCTTTTCTCCCCTTTTTGGCTGCCGTCGGCTGGGTTCACAACCTCATGGCCTCTCACCGGAATTCTTGCACAGTCTCCTAATAGCTCCCTGTCACCACCCATTTGTCACACTGTCATTCGTATCTTTTTGAAAACCAACCTCAATTCAGCGGCCCTCATTCCCCACTTAAAACCTCTCAGGATAAATTCAAGCTCCCGACTTTGGCACGAAGCATCTTTCCAATTTGGTCTCAAATAACCGTTTTGCTGTCATTTCCTACACTTCCCCTGAACCACTCTGAGCTGCAGCCACAGTGAATTTCTTTTTGTTGCCTAAGTCAGTGCTTTCTTCTTTTTTCTTTTCTGCTTGGAATTCTTCACTGTCTACAGGATACTCTCCTACTTATCCTTTAAAGACCAGATCAAAGTGTCACCTCCTCCCGGAAACTTGCCCAGCTTCTGCAGCGCAGCCACTGCCCCCTCCACAGCACACCATATGTCTGCTGACTTTATCATTATTGGACATAAGTCATCCACTCGAACCCTTCCACCCACCATGCTATAGTGAAATCCTCTTGAGGAGACCTGCAGCCCGCTTCCTTTCAGAACTTTGAAGCCACTGTGCCTGGGTTCTCATCGGTGTTTGCTGGTAGAACAGGTGATGGAATGAATGAGGAACCCACATTCGAACTTTTGTGTGCAAAGTTTATAGCAAGATAGTCAGATCTATAAACCCCAATATTAGTGTAGTACATGAATAGATTATATACCACAGAACATGAATTTAGGGGGTGTAAGCAAATTCAGTATACAAGTCACCCCCAATTTTTCTGTATAGACTGACCTGCATCTAACAGGTCATTTAGATGGTGGGTGGAGCTGGGCATCTTAGAAGCTGACCACATACAGTCTGCTGCTCCAGAGCTAAGAGAGCTGGCGGGTGATAAATGACCCAGGGCCATGTCTGGGAAAACTCCTCAGTGTCCACTGTGATTTTCTCCAGGGTTGGGGATTAAGGGTCATTTAATTCTCTTTTTTTGTTAGTATTTTCTCAAGCTTCTACGGTGTGACTTGTTGATAGGAGGATGGTGCTCTGGTACGTCTTCTGTCCAGGATCTGGTGCAGACCCCAGGAACAGGGTGGGGGGCCCTTTCTGGCCAGACCCCTTGGCGCAGTGCTGCAGGTTCCTTACCAGTTGGCCCCTGATCACCTTTCCATCCTGCTCTGTGCAGCCTGTACGTCAGCCACACTCTTTGTCCTACTTATTAACTTTATGTAGCGAACACATATACCATACTCTAGGCCAGAGACTCTTCTAAGCATTTTGCAAATGCTAACTCATGTAATTCTCATAGCTCTGTAATAGTAGGTGTGAAGTAGATACTGTTATTATTTCCTCTTTCCAAATGAGGCAACTGAAGTCATTGTGGAATATACTTCATGTGCGCTGTTCCTTCTCTCCCTGTCATACATCGGGATTTCTCTGCCCACATTGTCCTGTGAGCCTCAGTTCCACTGTGTACTCTTAGCATCTTTTAAAATATATAATGCTTACTATATTATACAGGGCGGGGTAAAAGGGTTACAGTTGTTTGTATGGAAAATAATAGAATAATTTATAAGTAGCACTAAAAGAATAAACTCCGTGTTTCATACACTAACAACTGTAAACCTGCTTCTGCCTCACCCTACAGAGTAAATACTGTGTCTTCCCCAAAGTAAACTTGGGAAAGTTGCTTAATTTTCATTTCTTCCCTCTGTAAAGAGTGTCTGGTGATGCTTACCTCACAGAGTGGCCGTGAGGATTAAATGCCACGCTATTTGGACTGTATGCTTAGAACATGAGCTTTGCCAACCTGGACTTTGTATACTCCTTGACGCTGTGACCACACAGGGCAGCAGTTGTCCTGTGGGAGACTGAGGGGAAGGGAGAGAAGGAAAACCAGGATGATCCAAAGTCAAGGTCGGTGAGGGAGGAAAGGCTCGGCACTCCCAAATGCCTCATAATGGTCTGAGCAGATGACAGCTGAGCACAGAGGGATGGGTTTGCTCATGGTGACATTTTTGAGACCGGCTTCTGCAGGCTGTGGTGATGTGGGGAGGAGGCAGCAAGTGGTTGAGGATGAGTAGGTGGGAGGGAAATGAAAGGCTGAGGGTGTCATCATGCCTTCTTTCAGGAAAGGAAGAGGGCAGCGAGGGCGGCCGCAGGGCCAGAAGAAGGGTTCTTGGTGCGGGTGCGAGGGAGTGTGACCGTAGGCAGGGGGGGTAATGCCTTGGAAGAGCATGTCTGGGGAGAATGCCCCTTCCCTCTCCTGGCTGAAGCTTGGTCCATGCTCAGAACCCTTGTTGCCCCCTTGGGAACTTGGCTCCATTAATTCTGTCACCTGCTTGCCGCTGGGGCATCCTAGTTGGCTTTGGGGTCAGTTGGGGTTTTTGGGTAATGTATTTAAATAAACTGTCTGAGCTACAGTTCCCTCATCTGTCAAATGAGGGGAATTCTGTGAACATGAAATGAAATGACTTTGGTTAAGTGCCAACTATTAGTATCTTAACTGTTGTGTCCTTTTAACGATCTCTTAGAGACATGATGGAAGAGAAGAGGAAAGGGTAGATCTTGTAGTGGTTTTGACTGGGAGAAGGGAAGAATTTGGGCATGTGCCTGTGGAATGGCTGCTCTCTTCTCCATAAAGCAGTGGGACAGTTGTCCCCTGGGGTGAGGGGAATGGGAAAAGTTTGTAGTCCCACGGAGGCCACCAGGTTCTCTCCACAGAGATACACAGGAGAACTGAGATGTAGCGGTGAAGGTCTGGCTAGGCAGCAAGAAGACAGTATTGTTTTTGGACCTTCTGCAGCCAGGTCTGCAGGGTTAGGGAAGGTATGAATAGAACTGAGGGCTGACAGAAATGTCAAGGGGTGTATGGAAGGGTCGGGGGGTAGGAGGAGAGAGGAGGGGACGGGGAGAGATCCCCTGGTGAATTGACCTCCAGGGTAGTCTAGTCAGACGGGAGCTGATGGCCTGGGGACAGTTGGCAGGTCTGAAAGTCCTGTGGTGATGGTGAGGATGCAGAGCGGGTTCCTGGGAGCAGGGTGGGGGCCCAAAGGTTGTGGCCAGAGGGGAATATTATACCGTTAGATGAAGCAGTTTTAAGTGACTGGGGCGAGGGAATGGCCAGGTCACCCCGAGTACTACATGCTTTCATTTATCTGTTTTTCTTCTGTTCTTTACCCCGAACATCCACCCCATCCCTCGAGTAGCGTTAGTCTTTACACGGCTTGCTGTGGGGCATGTATCAGTGAATACGTTCAGCACACGTTTTTCACTGCTCTTTTGTGTTTGTAATATTTTTAATGGATACAATGTGTCCATTTATCTTTGCACATGTACCTTTGTATTCCTTTAGATTTTTCCCTGGGATGAATTTTCAAACGTGAGGTTACTGACAGTGGAGTGGTCTCAGTTGGTGTGAATGGTTTGGGGGTGTCTTGATCTGTCATTGGTTGTCTGTTGCGGGGAGATTGGCCCTGCACAGGGAGGGGAGGCAATAGGGAAGAAAGCAGAGCGTTCAGTCAGAGTCTGCGTGGGGGCTTTATGTGACTGGCCGCGCCAGGGCCACCTTGTGTCCTCCCGGGCTGTGGGTGCCGGAGACGGAGACCGGCGGGCGTTTGCACCTGTGGTCGCGTGCACGGAGTTCTGCTTGGCTTGGTCTCTGAAGCCCTCTTTGGGGGGCTGTCATCAAGAAGGTGACCAAGTGAAGACGTGGGTCTAAGAAGGGAAGGCGACAACACGAGGGCGTCCACATCTCTGTTCCAGAGCCTCAGGGGGCAAGGACAGAGCCATTTCATCTTTAGAGACTAAAGGGTTTAATTATTTTCATTATAATCCTCATAGTGTTCGTGTTTTGAACAATTTTAACCATAAAGGGACACATGGTTTAGATAATTATTTAAGCTGATTTCATTAGCAAATTTTCATTTAGATAATTATAGTCAGTGATTTCATTAGCAAATGTTACCATTAATAACACTTTCGTACACTTATGATTGTAATGGTTCTCTTTTTTTTTCTTTTAACAGAAAAAATACAGAAAGGGATTTATTGATGTTTCAAAAATAAAGTGTGTGGAAATAGTGAAGAATGACGACGGTGCCATTCCCTGCCAAAATAAATACCCATTTCAGGTAGGCCGGAAGTGTTCTAATGGCAGTCTAATTCAGGCTTTTCGTCATGCTTATCATTTGGCATTACAGTTCCCCGTCCTTGCTTTAGTGATTGATTAAAAAAATCAGCTTTATTGAGGTATGTAATTGACACCTAGGAATTGCATGTATGTAGCATGTAAAACCTGGGTGTTTGGTATGTGTATGCATTGTGCAGCGATCACCACAATCAGGTAATTAACATATCCCTTGCTTCCCGCAGTTACCAGTTTCTTTTTTCTTTTTGTGGTGAACACACGGCATCTGTGCCTTCCTAGCAGATTCAGCCACCGCACCGTACTGTGTGCAGGTCTCCCGAACTCTCCTCCTGCGCGTCTGAAACACTCGGAACTGTTGGCAGCCGGAAGGGCAGCAGGCGTTAGCTGGGTAGAGTCAGATCCGACCTTGGTTCAGCAACCTCAGTACTTTGAGTAATGGCTAAGAGAGAATTCAGGGCCAAGACCCAAACTAGAAGAGAAAGTTTATTTAGAAAGTCACAGAGTGAGCTGCAGGAGACATGGGCTCAGGAAACAAGTTACAGAAGCAAAAGAAGGGGCCCTTGGAGCTTAGGAGAAAGAGAGAAGCAAGGAAAACGTGTGTGTTGGGGGAGGGTGCGGAGGATAGGTGCGGGAAAGGTGAGGGCCTGCTCCCCAGAGAGGGTCACTGGGTCCTCTGACTTAAGGACATTTATCTGAAGGTCTCAGGGGCAGATTCTAATAGAACATTCATCAGCTTTTCCTGTGTTCCCTTGCAGGGTTGTGGTCTCTGAGTGGTTGGCATCAGGGTAGGGTGTCATTTGTCAGTGTAGCTGGTTCAGAGGTCTGGTTTTGCTGCTTTTCTGGGCCTGGACCTGAAACACAACTGAGGCCCAGATGTATTTGATGTGGGTCAGAACCTCACTGTCCTGGAGGCTTAATGCTTACGGCTGTTCTCCGGCTCCCATGTTCGTTCCTGATCCAAGGCGGCCAAACCCACATGACTGACAACGTGCTGGGGGAGGGGAGGTCAGAGGAGGGTCTAAACGGCATGGTCAGCAATATGAAAGGTCAGGGGTACTAAACTGCGTGACCAGAGACACGCTGGGGGAGGAAAGATTACGCTGGGGGCAAGGTCCTTGATTTCTCAGTTTTGTCTGTCACCAGGCACGAGGGCTTTCCTGGCCTCTTGTCCTTTCTCTGTTAATGCCCGTCTGACTTCCTGTCACAGTGTGCTTTGACCAACACTTCCCTATTGTCCCACCCCCAGTCCCTGACTGCCACCGTTCTGTTCTCTGCCACTATGAGTCCAACTAGTTTACATTCCACACATTCGTGAGGTCATGCATGTGTCTGGCTTATTTCACTTAGCATGATGTCTTCTAGGTTCATGCCTGTTGTCAGGAATCACAAGATTTCCTTCTTTCCTTTGAAGCTGAATAATCTTCCATCGTCTGTAGACACGACCCATTTTCCTTGTCCATTCACCTGTCAGTAGATGTTGTTTTCATACGTTGGCTATTGCAAATAATGCTGCAGTGAATGCTGCAGTGCAGAGATGTCTCCGAGAGCCGAGTTCATTTCCTTCACACGAACACCCAGAAGTGGGGTTGCCGAATCACATGGTAGTTGACTTCTAGGTTCATTTGTAGTTGGACAGTAATTGCTTTTCATCATGAATGGTTTAAGTCTTCGTTGAAACATTTTCTTATTATTGTTTTTGGTCTGTTAGATTCTGCCCATGCCTTGAGTTGCTAAGCCCCAGACCTAACTTGCTGTTATTCAGATTTATCCCAGAGCAGTTAGGAGAAGGAGTGGAGGCTGAGATTGAGTTGTACACTTAAAGCCAGTAAGGTTTTGTAAACCAATGGCACTCCAATAAATTGAGTTAATAAAAAAAAGAAAGAAAAAGAAAAAACTGGGATGGAATGTTCTCTGTGAAGCTGAGAATCTGAGAAGGGGCAGGAGTGAGCCACTTGGACAGACATAAGATCAAAAGGCTGCTTGTGATGCAAAATACAATGTTAGCATCATACAGAGATTAAGGTGCGCCTTTGAAAAGGCTGTTTTTTCATGTTTTCCTTCATGAGGATCCTGTTATATAAGGGAGGTAAATACACTGTTCCCATTTATGACAGGAAACTGTGGTTCCTAAATGTTCAATGACATGTCCAAGGTCATTCTGAGAATGAAAAACCTCTGCAGAACGCACACTCACACCTTGCCAGTCCCTGGGAGCATCAGCGTGGCCATCCGTGGCACTCTCTGCAGGCTCGTGTTGCGCATGTGCCTTGAGAATGAGGGGTCCAGAGCTGGGCCCTGGTCCTCCAGACCTTGCAGCAGACGGCACAGGACCTCACCACCCGCTTCCTTCTCTGGTTGAGGACGTTTTTATGCTTTCCTTTGACTAATTGATGTTCCCAGTGCAGATGGCCTTTTAGCCATGGCTATCTCTCAGGTACTAGGGGGAAGTTGCAAAAATCTTTTCAGCATAGTATCACAGTGGAGATACTGGTTGTTTTTAATTGCTACTGTAAATTTATCAATTGCATTTGAAATACACGTTTACCAGTTGGGGCCATTAACATGACCAGAAAGTCATAAACTAGGGGATTCAAGCTTTAAAACCACATCTAGATTATTTTCACTCAAGTGGCAACAACACAATAGGAGGAAGGACTACATTTAATTTCCTTTTCCCAATTCCTCATTTTATATTTAGCATTTTTTTCTTTTCATGAAGAGCAGGGATAATATGGTGCTTAACGAGGCAACTCTGAGGCCACACCTCCTGATTCGCCACCAATGGACTCTGGGACCTTGTACAGGCCACCGAAGTGCTGTATGTCTGTGTCCTTTTCTGAAAAACGGGAATAATAATGATAATAGTACTCACTCCCTAGGGTTGTCGTAATGACTAAGGTGATATATGAATAGTTTAATACACAGTGAGAGCAAGACGAGTGTTGGTTGCTGTTATTGTTACTGTTCCTGCTCTCACTACTACTGCTAATACCACGGCCACCTCGGGTGGAGAAGTGCGCCTGTTTAAATCTTGTACTTGATTAAGTGTTCTAAGTAAGTGAGTAGTTTTGTTTGAAGTATAGCAGAAAACCTCTTCTACCACACTTATGATGCTATTAGACATGTCGGAGGTGGCCGGCGGCTGTGGGGAGCTATGGCTGTCATGAGGCAAGACCCAGGACTAGAAGTTTCGCTGTCCGAGAGAAAGAGATCTGATCCGGAAGCCATGGGTCGGATTTTAGAATGATGAGGAAAACAGGAGAACAGAAAGCATTCCACCCCAGACCCATTTTCAATTGCTAAGATGAAAAACTACAAGAAAAGTTCAAAAACTGTCTTAAAAATTAAGAAGAGGTCAACATGAGCTTTAACTATGTAATTTAAACCAGCAAGATTTGAAAGATGAAAGATATTCTGTTATTATAACTTAAGGATAGCTTAAAGTTTGGCTCCTAGTTTCACATGTTACAGTGAGAGTTTGCATTATGCGCACATGCAAGGCAAAAAAAAAAAGGAAAAGTGGAAGTAGACGTTTTCAGAGGAGGCTGCTTCTCGCCTCAGCTGTTCCCGTCCCAGGAAGGAACCGAGAACATGGAAGGAGGAGCCAGCTGCTTCTGTAGTGGAGTCTTCTGACGTCACTGGGGGATCCCCAGGAGGTGGCCTTTTCCCCCTGACTTTTGAACCCAGATCTGTCTAACAGTCGCTTGAATAAATGAATGAAGACATAAATAGAGTGGAGGGTAGCTACTAAGTAGGAGTGTTGCTAAGGGAGAGTGTGTTTCCTCCTTATTGAAATGGCTTCTGCGCCTCGAGGTCTGCGGAGCTCCTCCCGTCCCTGCCAACCTCGGCTGTGCCAGGATGACTCAGCAGCAGGCAGGCACGTGAGAAACATGGCTGCCTGCGTGCACTCTGTCACTGTCAGCTGTCATGTGGATGGCACAGAAAGTGGCCTCCAGGTGTGTCCAGGGCTTGCTGGGAGGAGGATATGGGACCCCAGATAGCTCACCCACTGCCTTGCCTGAGATACCAAATTCATGTTTTTTATCTGGGTAGAGGGTGCTACCTCTAGAAATTTTTTCTAGAAATACGAACACCCCAAGTTAGCTAGGTAACAGATCTCGTCTTAGCTGTCGGAACTCTGCATTTGGATGCGTTCTCTACTGATGAGCTTGTCTTCGTCAGACCTGAATGAAGCTACAGGCTCCCAGGAGTGATGTGAGATGAGTTTTGAGAAATTAGACTGGAGCCCAAAAAGGCAGATTCTAGCAGGGAAACAGTCTGGGGTCACTAGGAAGGGGTTTGGAGGACACATGAATAAGAAGAGCCTTTTGGGGGTCAAACAGGTCCTGCTCAGATGAATCGATCTCACCTGCTTTGGTTTTCTCATCTGGAAAGTGAGGGTCCTATTGCTGGTAGAAACATGGGCTGCCATGTGGATTAAATGAGGCAGTGCATGTCAAGGCTTAGCCTGGTGTAAAGCCTCAGTAAAATGAATTATTGTCATGAATTACTACAATGCGCCCAGGTTTCTGGAAGGTTCAAAGTCCCAGCAGTTCTTTCCAGGTACCCGTGTGTCAATTCACAATGTTTCATGGTGCATTTCTTACCTAATTCTTATGTACAGAGTTGATTGCATTGATGGACCTGGATAAGGTGTTAAGATTCTGACACCCAGTTCTAATGTGCGTGTGTTTTAACACACCACCAAATAATTTCCCAACACCAGCTGGGGGTTCTACAATTCATTTCAGTTCTTGCACCAGCTAACCAAAGACAGCATTGATTCCACAGGTTACGGGCTCGGTCCCACAAGACTGGCCCCACTTCAGATGCCAGTCGCAGCTCCAGGCTATCGCCTGTGCTTCTGATCTACTACTGCCCAGAGAGCAGAGGTTCGCAGTCTCCTCTTAGGGTTTGAATAATTAGCTAGAGTAGCTCACAGAACTCTGAGAAATATTCTACTTCCTAGGTCACCCATTTATTATAAAAGGTCAAACTCAGGAACAGCCAGAGGGAAGAGATGCATAGAACAAGGTTTAGGGAAGGGATTCAGAGCTTCCAGGCCCCCTCCAGGTGCACTGCTCTCCCCAGATCTCCACATTCATTAACCAGGAGCCCTCCAAACCCTCTCCTTTTAGGGCTTTGATAGAGGCTTCATGACAGAGGCATGACTGATGGCATCGTTGGCCATTGGTGATTGAACTCAGTCTCCAGTCCCCTGCTCCTCCCTGGAGGTGGTGGGGTGGGGTGAGGTGGGGCGAGGTGGGGACTGGAAGTTCCAACCCTTTAACCACAAGGTTGGCTCCATTGGCATCCAGCCCCCATCCTTAGGTGCTTTCCAAAGGCTCTCATTAGCACAACAAAAGACACCTTTATCACTGAGCACAGGATATTCCAAGGGTTTTAGGATTTCTGTGCCAGGAACCAGGATGAAAACCAAACAGGTATTTCTTATTATTGATAGCAGTATCACAGCTGTGAGAGTCATGGACCAAGCAAGACACGTACATCCCCACATCTCGCTTAGCGCTGTATAGTTGCCTCTCTATCACGTCTCACTTTGTCTTGTTATAGAGTATTTCTCCCATACGTATCTTGAAAATAGGCTTCATGTTGGATGTATTTTTATATCTATGTAGTTCCAGCAAAGTGCCGGGATGATGAATGAATCACTGAATGAAATATAACACTATTTGTTCTATGGTGTTCACATTGCTGTTGGACTGCATTTATTGGATTGAAATGAATGGGAAGGAATGATCTGTTGATGATGGCCAGGAGTAGCCACCTACCAGTGAAAGACTTATTCGTGTTCACTCCAGTGTCTGGTGATGTGGGGAAGGGAGGTTTCTAGCCATATATGTTTTTGAGACAATCAAGGTGTTTCTGCCTTGTGAAAGACCAAATTCTTGGGTTAGTCTCCCAGATTTAATTTGATTATTAATCCTAAAAATATGAATATTAAGACCATTTAGTTCCTCGACAGAAGTTACATCTACAAGAGAGAGGCACTGTGGTTAAATGTTTAGGCTTGGGAATCAGGATCGTGGCCTTCTGGAATACCAGCCAAATGATGATTGAGGCAGGTTAAGTCGCACAGGGCACCATTTGCAGTGCATTCTTTGTGAATGGTGTCCTCTGCAGTTATAGAGGCTGCATGAGGCTGCACGAGTAGGCCTTAGTCTCCCCCCCTGTAAAATACTGATACGTTGATGGTAGGACCCTGGAGTTAAGATTTGTAAAGCACATAGCATAGAGTTAGGGTGGTCAGTGCCTAACAGTTAACTACTGCAATTATTTATAGTAGCAAAGGAGGGTATATAGGAGTGTTGCTAAAAGAGTAGTCAATTTATCTATCTATTATTCAGGAAAATACTAGATTAGAATAATCTCTGTTACACCAGGGTTCCCTAAGGAGCTTCAGTTATCTAGGCCACAGGATATACAGATTAGTGAAGCATTCTGGCCTCTGTATAATTTTTCTTCTATAAACACTGTCCTTGGCAAAATGTGTATCCTACTCAATGTCGGCATGAAGAAGTAGATGTGTTTTGTAAGGCAGGAATCTGGGTTCTTTGGTGCAAGGTAATTGACTTTCACTGAGTCATTTTGGAATCATTTACTGGCGTCTGTGGTACCAGGAGCTCTGTGCTAGACCAAGTGCTGTGTCTGCCCATTTCTCATCGACTTCATCTTATTTTTTTATTTTAGGTTGTCCACGATGCTAACACACTTTACATTTTTGCACCTAGTGCACAAAGCAGGGACCAGTGGGTGAAGAAGTTAAAAGAAGGTAAACTCCTATAATAAAATATTAATCTCTACATAATTTTAAGATAGAACATTGTTACTACTAAAACAAACACAGCTAATGTATCTTGCAGTTATAATCTTTCAATATATAACAAGAGTTTCTCCAGAGATACGTTGTTCCTCTAAGTGATGCATATTGAGGACAACTTTTTTTGCAATCTAATTCCTTCCAGTGATGTATACATAATTTCTAAGAAAAGTAGGCTTTCATATATTGCATGATATCTTTGGAAATGATCAAGCTCTGGGCTTTTATGATAACAGGGTTTATTATTTTCTAAGAAATTGCTGATGTAGTCAACAGTTGGTGTGGATGAGTTGACTTGTGCTTCAAGTGTTTAAATGGGTGATTTGCCCTGTACAATCCTCATGGCTTCTTCTGCAGAAGCAAACAGTGGTGGCTGATTTATGTGCCAGTCCATTAGAGTGCAGCAGGGATTCCCTCTGCTAACAAGGACGTTGCACCAAGAAAAGGAGGCAGCACCACGTGGGCTTTCTGATGCTGGGTTGTCTGATGTCAGGAGGGTGTTCTTGTAGGGAGTACGGTATCTGAGAAGATAAAGCGTGATCGACAGGAAGCGTTGTTGTCTATTGTTTCACTAATCATTTAATGTGTTCATGAATTCCAGAAATAAAGAACAACAACAATATAATGATTAAATACCATCCTAAATTTTGGGCAGATGGAAGTTATCAGTGTTGTAGACAAACTGAAAAACTAGCACCTGGATGTGAAAAATATAATCTTCTTGAGAGTAGTAAGTATTCATTTTACTTTATAATTACACTGTTTGTATTATTGGTATAATGAGAAGTGACATGATTTTGATTTTGATGTTGGTTAAGTATGGCCCTCACACTTTCTAGCACAGCATAAATATTGGGCATATGTATTTTGTAAGAATAATTGTATTTAATTAGCAGGTGGACCATTTAATGGAATCAATAGGTCTAATAAATTTTGGGAACCTTTTATCACAATGTGGAAGCCTGCTAAAAATGACTATTAATAAGTAAGAGCCTAATATGGTGCCGTCATCAGCTTTTTTTTCAATGTTTTTGAGGAATAATTGACATATGAAATTGTAGGCTATTTAAAGTGTTCAGGGTGGTGATTTGATGTACTTAAGCATTGTAAAAGAATTCCTCCCATTGGGCTAACTCCTCACATGTTCACCCTTTTTGTATATTGATGGGAACATTTCAGCTGTGCTGTCTTTGTAACTTTCATGTAAACACTGCAGCGTTGTTGACTGTAGTCACTGTGTATACATTAGGTCCTCAGCCTTGTTCGTCTGACAGTTGAGAGTCTGCACCCTTTTACCAACATCTCTATTTTCCTACTCACACCCCTTGGCAACCACTTATCTCCTCTTTGTTTCTATGAGTTTGACCTTTTTTGTTGTTGTTGTTAAAGATTGCACATACAAGTGATACCATGTGGTATTTGTCTTTCTCCATCTGGCTTATTTCACTTCCCGTAATACCCTCCAGGTCCATCCATGTTCAAGTGACAGTTTCCTTCTTGTTTTCAGGCTGGATAACACTCCATTCTCTGTCTCTGTCTCTCTCTCTGTCTGTTCCTGTCTTGGCTCTCGTGGACAGTGCTGCAGCAACGGGGGGAGTGCAGCTATCTTTCCGAGGTGCTGACTTCACTTCCCTTACGTGTGTACCCAGAAGTGGGGTTGCTGGGTCACGGGGTAGGCCTGCTTTTATTTTCCTGAGGAACCTCCATACTGTTTCCCACAGTGGCTGCACCAGCTGACATTCCTCCCAGCAGTGCCCGAAGGTTCCCTCGTCCCCATATTCTCGCCGCATTTGTGATCGCTTATGTTTTTGGTAACAGCCACTCTAAAAGATATGAGGTGGCATCTCATCCTAGTTGTGATTTGCATTTCCCTAATGGTTAGTGATGTTGAGCACCCTTTTATATACCTGCTGGCCATTTGTATGTTTTCTTTGGAAAAATGTCTTCTGTGCCTTTGCCCATTTTTAATTGCTTTATTATTATTATTATTATCACTATTATTTTATTGCTCCTGAGTTATATGAATTCCTCGCGTGTTCTGGATATTAGCCCCTTATCAGATATGTGGTTAATATCTCCTCCCCTTCCAAATATCTCCTCCCCTTCCACAGGCTGCCTTTCCATTTTGATGAGTCTTCTGGGCTGAGCAGAAGCTTTTTAGTTTGATGTAGTCCTACTTGTGTACGAAGAATCAGATGTGGCCCCAATCCCTATGGCATTTGCAGTCTGTGCAGAAAGACAGAAATACAAACCAGCTTCAATAGCCTTTTAAAATTCTGTTACAAATAGAGATACAAGCAACATGCACCAGAGCGAGAGAGGCAGACTAGACTTCTTGCTTTTGTGTTCATTTTCGCTTTTCCTTAAAACTCTTGGTAGATGGCATTTTGACCTATTTCTGTTGTTGTCATTTCCAGGTATCAAAAAAGCACTACCTCCAGCTCCAGAAAAAAAGAAGGTAGGTGGCCTCTGACTTTGGGAAACATTTACAGTTTATCGAGCGTGTTTGTATTCATTGATGTGATGCTGTTTGCTCCTCCCTTCGCCCTCATCATACCAGAAACAGATATGCTGTAGCTTATTTGATTTTTTTATGTGTCAAGTAATATTAAATGTATCAAATATTATCCCTGGGGCCCCTACTCTCATCTGGCACTTTGCCTGCAGGACTTTAAAGGAATATTTGGGCCTTAAAAACAGTATTGTGACAGGAGAGTGACTTCACTGATTTAATGATGTGCCTTTGAAGTGTGGGGTCTGACGGAGAACACAGGCGTTTTGGACCCAGACAGGACCAGATCCAACGTGAATCTGATATGAGTGACTTCAAGTGGGTTCCTTACACCCCTGTCTGCCTCAGTTGTACACGGGGAGTTCTATACTCTGCCTGTGGGAGCAGTATTAAGGGTCACTGAGAAAGAGTGTGCTAGGTACTAAGTGTGTGCCTTGCATGCAGTGAGTACAAAAAAAAAGGCACATTCCCCTGAGTGGGAGGAGACCTGATAAAAGCCTCCCGTCTGTGCTGTGTTTTCCCCGTGGCAGGCCGTTTGAGTGATGGGTCGCTAGTCCTCCTGGTTTTCGCTCCCATACTACCCTTCCCTCTCCCTGGAAAGCTACCCCTGACCCTGAGCAGAAGCCTCTTGACGTTTAAAGACAGCTTTTACTTATGTCCTATATTCTGAAACCCGTGAGAAGTCTAGCAGCATCAAATTCAGGGGAGGGCTCAGCAGATTATACTGAGCAGACTTGTGCTTTCTGCTGTAGTTTGTGGTGATGTGTTAATCATGCAGTGTGTTACTTCACACAAACGGAAGCTTAAACGTTCACATGCTGTCTCTTTTTCTTAGCGAAGGCCTCCCCCACCAATTCCCCTGGAAGAAGAGGATAACAGTGAGGAAATAGTTGTAGCCATGTATGATTTCTACGCGACAGAAGCACATGATCTCAGATTAGAGAGGGGCCAGGAGTACATCGTATTAGAAAAGAATGATGCTCATTGGTGGAAAGCAAGAGATAAGTACGGGTAAGTGCTTCGTCTCTGTGTGTGGTGTGCAGTGGGAGGGAGGGGTTAAGTGCGGAGTGAGAGGAGGACAATCTGTAGCTCTTGGGGAGCGAGGCTGGTTGGACTGGCCACAAATCAAAGTCCGTACTAAATCAAAGTCCGCACTATTACTTTGCAGTAACACAGTGTATTCCTGTTAGTGATGCAATGAATGTAAATGGATCAGCCACTTGTTTCCAGAAATTAGAAACATTACACTGCTTTCTTTTCTTATCCATTGTATGTTTAGCTGGATTATTTTGATCTTGAGGAAAATTGCATTTTACGTTTTACCCCCCCCCCCGAGGTGAGTTAATAATACTAGGTTTTTCTGAGAGAGAGAGACTATATGTATGTGTGTGTGAGCAGTATTTATACGAGATAATTTAGGATGCAAAGGAAATAGTTCTTTCAGTGTCGTTATGGGTAAATACGAATAAGCATAGGGATGAAGATCTTTTCGGTTTCATTCAGAAAACTGGGTGCTGTGCTTACTGTGAAATACAATCCTGTTCCTGTTCTGCATTCCCATGGGTAAGAGGAGGAGGACGTTTTGTCCTGCCCACCGCACACCCTCCCTCCAAGTCTGCTTTCTCTCCGCCCTGTCCCGCCCCAGTTCCCATTCTCCTTCCTCAGTTCCCTTCGGGAGAAGCCCTGGGAGGCTCTGGGGTGGGCAGCGCCCTCCCTGGCTCTCTTCTCAGCAACTGCATCCCGGGGGCTGGTTCGCTCTCTGCATTAGCGCCCTCTTGGGACCCCTTAACCTGCCATTCTGTGTTTACAAGAAGATTGTCGCTGCTTTCCTTCCCCAGGCACTCATAGAAGATTGCTTTTTATTTTTTATTATAGAAGTTTTCAGGAGTCCACAAAAGTACATAATAAAATAACAGAGCCACTTGTCACAACTTCAAAAACAACCAGTGTTTTGCCAATTTTCACTTACTAGTCATCCCCCTTGTTTTTTTTGGAGTATTTAGAAGTAAATCCAAATCATCAGTCGTTTCACTTCTACGTCTAACTGCTAACACTTTTTAAAAAATAACCACTGTGTCATTATCAGCCTTCACAATAATTTTTAAAAAGATCATCCGTAGACTTTCCCTAATATTTTCAGGACTGGTAGAAGGATACACATGAAAGCCCACATATCATGCATCTAAATATTTTGAAGTTACAAGCCAAGCTAACAAACCAATGCATAAAGTGTGATTTATCCTCCAGCTTGTCACATGTTCCATCTAAATGACAAGGAAGGCGAGGTTTGAGGGCAGGCTCGCGCTGGAACGTGACCATGCGCTGAGGGCCGTCTCCCCGCCTGCCTCCTTTTCCTGTTTCCTTCCCCCCCGGGCTCCACCTTCCGTGCGCCTTGTGGGACTCCCAGCCCTACATTCAAGGTCTGTCCCCATTGTTTGCAAAAGCCGCTCTCCCCCAACTTGGCCACCCCGAGATCTGGGCTTGGAAGGTGGTGCACGTGACCAGTATAGTTTTCTACCAGAGGATGAGCCCAGTGGAAAGACCCATGCAGGCCGTGGCAGGGGCAGAGAATTCTGGGGTCTTGATGGCTCAGATGATGGTCTGGTGCTCAGAGGCTGCGAAGACATGGGATTTGTCAGGCTCTTGAAAGTCTGTGGTCAGAGCAGGGCCCCTCTGGCCCAGGTCTGAAGGTGGTGCTGATGACATCATTTCCAGTTTCCCTCCATCATCTCCAGTACATATTTCTACACCTCAGTCAAGATTAAAACAAGGTCCCCACATGTGTTTTGGTTGCTGTGTCTTTTATGTCTCTCTTTTATTCTGTAACAGTCACTGTCCTTCTTTTCAATTTTGATTTATTGATGTAATCAGGTCATTTACCGTATGAAGTGAGCCACCCTCTAGATTGAGCTAATTGCTGCCACAAGGTGTCATTTAATATGTCTTCATGTCCTGTATTTCCTGTAAACTGTAATCTAGGGGCGCGATCACGTTAGAGTTGGTATCGGATCGTCCCACTTTCAGGACGTGAGGCTTCCTCGGTGGTCAGGTGCCAGCCTGATCCCGCCGTCGTGAAGCTCTTCGTCAGTGTGCGCCTCGCCTGAGGATTTGGGCTTCCGTCAATAATTATTACTTAGGTCCCGTATTTCATTAGGAATTGCAAAATGATGACTTTTAAATTGTCAGTCTGTCTGCATTTATTAATTTTCTGAAGAAGAACTGGCTCATCAACTAATTTGTTTACTTCGTGCAGCAAAGGCAAGATAACTTGTTGGTTCTTTTACCAATTTTCAAAGCAATGAGTTTTAATGAGCTTCTGCTGGTGATAACAGTGGTAACCAGTATTTTTTTAGTGTTACTGTGGATGCTTATATATTTGGCTTCCATCCATTGCAGTCATTATTATTTTTCCTTGCTTTGTCCTGTCTTAGGTCAGTGGTAGCTGTTTTGGGTTGGGGGGGGGTGGCCTTTAGTCTTTCTGAGCTTCTTTGCTTTCTGGGTAAAATAAAATGGCTCAAGTTCATCTTAGAATTTTTCTGGCCAAACCTGCACTTTGCTGTTTTTCCAAGGAATTCTGGCTCCTCTTAGTAAGAAACAGTACTGAGAGACGGCAGGCGGGGTGCTAGGGTTCTCACGGCTCCTGGTTTGTCACTGCTTCTCGGCCTTTCCCAAGGCAGCAGGGCTACATGCGTCCTTCGTGCATGTGTGTAGGAGTTCTTACTAATAGTTCAAACTCAAACTGAAGCCTGCAAAGTTTTTACTCAGTTTTTAAATTGTATACGTGTATCTCTTTCACGTGAAAAATCTTGGCTTCTACCAAGATTCCACCCATTGTGAGTGCTTCTCTTTTTTTTTAAATAAGATTTTATTTCTTTATTTTCAGAGAGGGAAAAGGATGGAGAAAGAGAGGGAAAGAAATATCAATGTGTGAGAGAAATATCAATCAGCTGCCTCTCACATGACCTCGAACTGGGGACCTGGCCTATAACCCAGGCATGTGCCCTGACTGGGAATCAAACCAGCAAACTTTTGGTTCGCAGGTTGGCGCTCAGTCTGCTCAGCCACACCAGTCAGGGCTGCTTCTTAAACTGCAATGTGGGTGAGAGTCATATAGGATAAAATCAGAGGTCTCTTGGCCTCACATAAGCCTTCTCAATTCAGATCTCTTGGGGTATGACCCGAGGATTTGCGTTTTTAACAAGTGCCGTGATGATATTGATATAAATGTGGAGAACTGCCCTCTAGGAAATAATGTTGTACATGGGTGCTGAGGTGTTGGGGTGGTGGGTGTTTTATCCAACACTTTAGCTTTTCTTAAGTAATCGTTTCTTTCAAACATCCCAAGAAATTCCAAATTCAAGAGAAGCATCATGGAATGTTGGAAAGGGCTGTCTATTGTGAGTTCCAAGAAGGTATCGAATGTGGGCCCTGTTGCTGGCTAGCTTTGGGGCCTTGCGAAAGTCTCTTAATCTTTCTAAGCCTTGGATTCTCCACCAGGAAGTGGGTGCAATAACGCTTGCCCATCTCAGAATTTTTGTGAGGATCAAATGAGGCAGTACTTGGTAATGCATCAAATGCTGTGGATATATTGAATTATTGGCAGTCAGCTAGTTTTCCTTACTGTTGCCTAAAGCTGCTCAAAGCTTTGGGCAATATTATGCTTTAATTATTTCAAGAAGGTAATACTTTTTTCTAATAACCTCTCAGTAAGATCATTTTAATTTACCTAAAGTATTTTTCTCATTTCTAGGAGTGAAGGCTATATCCCAAGTAATTATGTAACAGGAAAGAAATCAAACAACTTAGATCAATATGAGTAAGTAAATGTTTATTTTGTAAATGTGGAGAACCAGAAAATGTTTCATTTTCCTAATTATGTAAGGAGTTTTGGAGATTAAAGGATATCTTTCATTACATTTAGAAGGTGGTGCTAACATATTCTTAACTCAGTTCTCTAGGCTGTAAAAGATGTTGAGAGAACTAGTTTCTATAATATACTTTACCTGAAGTTACTCTTGTATAAATGGACTTATACAAACAACACAATTGAATTTATTTTAAGCAAATCACAGCTTAGCTGGCTTAAAAATACAGGCCATTGTGCATTTATTCAAGAAATCAGCATATCATTTGATTTTTTCTAAGTATGATAATATATGATTAGTATTTTAAAATTGTTTGAAGATATTATGAACTTAATAAGAAAAACTACTTGTAAATAAAATAGAATTGATCTCTGCCAACATTAATATATGTTCCTTCAGTCTTTTAAAAAACAATCATGCTGTATATACTGTTTTATATTTTGTTTACTCCAGTCAGTAGAACATTATGAGTCTATTTTCTCATGCTATTAAATATTCTTTCTAAATACTTTTATGACTGTGTTATATTTCATTCAGTCATAAATTCATCAACTATTTCCTGATATCTTAGCATGTGTCATGTGCTATGCTAGGCCTTAGGGGGCACAACCAGGCATGTGGCACACGGATGTGCTATAATTTATATGATCATCTTTTTGTTTGTGTAACATTATGTTGTGTGGGCATCTTTGCATGTAAAAAAAAATGGGAATAACCCTCTTCCTGCTTATTGTCTTAAACCAGATCTCTAGAAATCTGTGTACTCTCTAAGGGCTAGTTAGGAGCTTGCTAACACTCTTCGTGCATGCTGTCAAATTGCGTTCCAGAGAAAGCAGCGGGCTTGCTGTGTGTAGCCAGGCTCCCATGAGATGCCCCTGTATAGCAGGTACTCTTCTGTGGTCATTCGGAGGAGATGTACTGAAGTTTCCAGTTACTTCTTCAAAAACACGACCGCCACCTCTAACAACAATGAAAAGTTGTTTCCTCTGTGCATGTTGCTTCTTATAACGTGAACCTACCCTAAAAATCTAGAAAAGGATGAACAGGTTCAGAAGTCACAGCCCTTAGTGGTATGATCCCTCAGAGTTGTTTCTTAGTAGGCGAGAGTATAAAAATATGTAAATACAACAGTGTTTCTGTTTTTAAATGATATTTTTGGAAAATGTAGCCAAATCCTTCAACTGAGGGAAGACCTGAAAGGGGTCTTCCTCAGAATGTGGACCTGACTTTAAAGTGATCTGAGAGCTAACTGATGATTTAGGGAGGGGTGCGCTTCGAAACCAGATAATGCTCAGTCCAAATGTGAGAACTCCCTTGTGACCCATGGCATTACAAAGGAGGATTTTGTGACGTTTGTGATTCACTGCCATGGGTTTTTGGATGCATCTCAGTTTAGAAATTTTCTCCCTTCGGAGGGACTCTCCTGCCCCTGTGTGTGACTAAGTGAGCTGGTCGTGCCATGTCCGTGGTGTGGGAGTTGCCCCCCCCCCCCCAGCTGTGTGCTCAAAGGTCAGGGCTTCCACGTGGCACGGGGCCATGCCCAGCTGGATGCGGAAGGGGAAACCTGTTCTCAGGGTGCCAGCCAGAGTTCCCCTTCTTCTCCTGCCGTCTTTCTACTCTGGTTTGTGCCGTGTTTTGCTATTGTCTGTCCTGTCACACATGTTCAATGTTCCCAAGGTTAAAAAGCCCTTTGTTAACTATTAAATCAAGAGTTCTCCTGCTCTTCGTTTGGGCTTGGGGGCCCAGGCAGCAGCCCCATCCATGGGGCTGGACTCAGGACTGCCAGACCCGAGCTCCTGGGCCTGTTGGTAGCTGGTCAGGGCTCTCAGCACAGGAGTTCTGACCTCCACAGCCAGGTAACAGTTTGAGGAGGAAATGATCAGAGGAACTGCTGCAGGAAAGAAAGTGGGACCATCATGATGGTCAGTAAGATGTCCTCAGTGGAAAGATGTTATAGGAAGGAGGTGACAGGAGTGAAAGGCCCTTGAACAGGAAAAAGTCCAGGAGAAGCCTTTGGGTCGGTGGCATGGCTGGCAAGGGCCAGATGAGAGAGAACCAGCAAAGACTGATGGCTGGTTGATTGGTTGGTTTCTATCTTTCTTCATTTATACCTTTAAAAAATGATTTAAAAATTGTTTCTGTTATTCATAAGGCTTCTGATCAGCAGTAGGCTATTGTAGTTAAGTTTTGGGGCAAAGGGATACTCGGATTGATGGGAGGGTGGAGGTGTGTGTCCACACTCCTAACTCCTAGTGTTCAAGGGCCAGCTGTGATCTCAGGGAGAGATTGGCTGGGGAAGCAGGGAGAGGGGAGCGTCTCTGAGGATGAGGTGGTGATGGCAGTAGCCATCTCTCCTTAGGAAAGATTGCCCAAGGCTTAATAAGGGACACAGATCAGCAGGCACTTGGGGCTGTGGCACAGAGTGGTGGCAGGACCTCGTGGGAGGGCACGTCCCACTGCTTGGCCGGGGTGGGTTTCTGCAGCAGAGCCTCGGGTGACCTCCAGGGCTTGGGGCTGTGCCAGGACCAGCGAGTCCGGGGGACCCAGTAGGTCTGCTCTTCTGCTTTGCTCTGTTTCCTTCGACGCTGAAATTCCATGTGGAAGCCTCTACGATGAGTTGACATAAAATCTACTGCCTTTTGGGGAGACCGGGGCTTGGGATAAGATTTACTTTACCTAGACTAAGGACAACAACATGAAATAGCATTTCCTGTTGCATGTTTGCGTCTGTGGAGTAAAATTTATTCTTGCTTTATAGTAATAGTGAAAAATCAAAAATGATTTTTATGGTAAATAAAGAAGCTTAAATAAATTATGGCACATCCATACCATGATACAGAGGACTATATTGCTTTGCAAAGATGTCAATCATGCAATTATATGAAAAATTCAGGTTATGATACAGGAAGTGTATTCTGATCCTGCTTTTAATAAAAACATAGGAATGTTGGCATGCATGTGTCTTCCTAATGGTATGGGAACAAAATGTCTGGAAATATATACATTAAATGTTACTAGTGGTTGTCCATATTACTGAGATTGTGAGTTGTGTCATATTCTCATTCATTGTATTTGTTATTGATGAGAAATATTATCTTGTTAATTCTAAAAAGAAGGAAATGTAATTTAAGAAACCCAAGGCCTTAAATGTACCTTCTCCTGTTCAGATGGTATTGCAGAAATATGAACAGAAGCAAAGCAGAGCAGCTCCTCAGAAGTGAGGTGAGTATATTTGCTTCTCTGGTTCGGTGTCAGCGCAAGTTAATTGCAGTGAATCTAGTAATTTCATGTGCCTCAGTTCTTAAAGTCTAAAAAAGTACTATAATATAAATGCAGGGTTTTGTTTTCTTTTTTTATTTCTTTAAAAAAATTTTTTATTGGTGTTCAAGTCTCCATTTTCTACCCACCTCTCTTTCCTACCCCATGTACCCCTACCTTCTGCCCTCAGTTGTACCCCTCTTTGGCTTTGTCCATGTGTCCTTTATACATGTTCCTTGATGACCCTTCCCCTCCTTTCCCCCTTTAGCCCCTCCCCCCTCCCCTCTGGTTACTGCCAGTTTGTTCTTTATTTCAGTGTCCCCGGTTATATTCTGCTTGCTTGTTTGTTTTGTTGATTAAGTTCCATTTATAGGTGAGATCATATGGCATTTGCCTTTCACAGCTTGGCTTATTTCACTCAGCATAATGCTCTCCAGTTCCATCCATGCTGTTGAGAAGGGTAGGAGCTCCTTCTTTCTTTCTGCTGTGTAGAATTCCACTGTGTAAATGTACCATAGTTTTTTGATCCACTCATTTACTGATGGGCACTTAGGCTCTTTCCAGCACTTGGCTATTGTAAATTGTGCTGCTGTGAAGATTGGGGTGCATAGATTCTTTGGCATGGATGTTTCAGGGTTCTTAGAGTGTATTCCCAACAGTGGACTTGCCTTCTTAATTATTTAAAAGTGAAAACTGGTGTATTCGTTTCCTGGGGCTGCTGTGACACAGTACCGTACACTGAGTGACTTAAACAGTAGGAATTTATTGTGTCATGGTTCTAGAAGGAGAAGTCTGACGTCAGGATGCCAGCCTCTGGGGGCCGCGAGGGAAGGGTCTGTTTCAGGCCTCTCCTTCTCGCCCTGTACGTCTGTCTCTGGGTCAACATTTCTCTTTTATAAGGACTGCAGTCATACTGGAGTAGGGCCTACCCTTAATGATCTCATTTGAACTTGAATACTTCTGTAAGTCTCCAAATAAGGTCACGTCTCAAGTACTGGGGGTGAGTGGGGACTCCAACAAGTGTTTCACAGTAGGTTAAACCCATAGCCATAGGTAATAGCTGTACCTGGGAAACATTTTCCTTACTTTATTGCTGATTTATCATTTGCTATAGTAGTAAAACATGTTTCCCCTTTCTGCTTGAAGTTATTTGTTTTAAAATAATTAACACCAGTAGCATGTCACTGATTCAAAGTCTGTGTGCCTCATGCTTTGAAAGGCCAAAACTCAAAACTTCAGAATTTGGAGAAAGGAAGGATTTATTGGTTGAAAGGCACCTACCGAGAAAATGGGAGACCAATCCTCAAATCCATCTTAAGAAAGTACAGAGTTCAGACTTCTTTTATGTCAAAGGAAGGAGAAATGGGAGGGGTACTTTTGTAAAACCCAGGAGCTAGCAGTGTTCCTCTGATGATGAGCTGTCCACAGCGAGGCGGAGTGGAAGCTGCCAGCCGAAGGCCGAGGAGAGTGCAGGTTTCAACAGGGCGGAGTCAGAGAGACCAGGCATTTCACTTTGTTACAACTGCACAACAGCTTGTAGAAATAAAGTTTTAATAAAGTGTCTAGCTGCTGTTAGAAATAAATGTGCTGAACTTCTTATGTTTTTAAAAGAGAAATAAAAGGATAAAATGTGGTCTTGAGGACGCTATAGTGGGCTGAGCGACCCAAGTCTAGTGGTGACTTTTCTAGTCTATTTTCTCATTTATAAGATGAGGAGTTGATTAAAAGATGCTCTTTATAAAAGATGCTCTCTCTGTTCTTGGCTTTTATGATCTAGCTATTTTACTTCCTAATGGTTCCTAGTCTCTTAAACTCAAGTCTAGTGGTGACTTTTCTAGTCTTTTTTCTCATTTATAAGGTGAGGAGTTGATTAAAAGATGCTCTTTATAAAAGATGCTCTCTCTGTTCTTGGCTTTTATGATCTAGCTATTTTACTTCCTAATGGTTCCTAGTCTCTTAAACTGGGGGGTTTTTTTTTTTTCTTTGGGGGGTGAAAAAGTAGACGCTCTGGCTACTTCCTAATGGTTCCTAGTCTCTTAAACTCATGCTTTCTCATTTAGTCTCCTCCTTGTTACCAACCAGTCCAGGTTTTATCAGGCACTTGTTTCTGTAGTTTATGTTGAGAGAGCAACAGCTGATGACTTTGCTTGATTCACGTGGCATAAAACCATGTGACTCCCCTGCAGGATTCTTACGTGCTTCTCTGGTGACCCCACGATGAGTGGCAGTTCTAGGGGAGTAGGTGGCTAGACCTGGGGGCTAAAATCATGGCTGTGCCTCTTATTGGCTGTGTGGCCTGGGGCCAGTCACCCAACCTTTCTGGGCCTCATGTCCTTACCTGTGAAGTAAAGCAGGGATAACAGTGATACCTACCTCCTGGGGCTGTTTTGAGGATTAAGTACCGAATTTTTCAGACTGTAAGATGCACCAGACTTTAAGACACACCTAAGTTTTAGAGGAGGAAAATAGGAAAAACAATTTTGAAGCAAATAACATAAATAACATAGCCTCCCCTCCCCCCGCCCCCCACCCCACGAGACAGGTAGGCTACATTCAGGCTATAAGACACACCCCCCTTTCCTTCAAAATTGGGGGAGTGCATCTTATAGTCCGAAAAAATTATGTAAATCTATGGATTAGAACATACTAACACAGAATGAGTCCTCAGTAAATATATGGTAGCTATTATACTTCTTACTGACTGATTAGCTGTTATGTCATTGTCCCTATTGTTCTGACCAGATGTGTTTGTGGGGTTTTATTTAATTCCAGTGTGTTTCCTATGAATAAGGATAAAATTCATTTTATTTTTTGACTAAGAAGCATACTTACATTGTAAAGCAGTCTCAGTTCTGGTCACTGACCGTGGCGCTTGGTGGAGAGGTGTTGCAGGTTCTAGGCTTCTGTTTCTTGATCTCTGGCTGAGCCTGATGAGGATTCCTCTGTTAGTGATTTATGCTGGCTCTGCTTTTTGGTTTTCTCTGCTTAAGTTACTTGTGCCCCCATCTCTCCTTTTGTAAAGAATGATATTTAACGGTGATTTCCAGGGGAATTAAGGATTTTAAAAACACTCCTGTAAAGAGCATGGAGCTATTTGTAGGAAAAATGCTATTTGGATAGAAGATGTTCTTGGGTCAGGATGAAAGCTTATAGCAAATAATAAAAATACATGAAATGAAACCTGATCATTAAAAAGTACGTTTCAGTATCCGTTTTTCCCCATGTCCAGGACTTACCGGACTTGCAGAGTCTTGTCTCCTAGTTCTGAAAGGACCCCGAGAGACTGTGTTGTCGAGGTGTCTCCTACTCTGGGCGTGAAGATTCGTGATGGGGTGGGAGGTTGCGAGTGTGCTTTCTTCAGTCCCACGGCCCAGTGGTGCCAAGTGGAAGGTCATGCGGATGAACCCCACTGCTCAGTTGTGCTTCTCCAAAGCAGATTCTCTAGGTAGAAGATAATGGTCAGAAAGTCTTAGGACTGGGTTCTTGAATCTTCCCCATGGTATTGGTATTTGATATGGAATTGAAACAATTTTGTTAACTTGGATTTTAGGATAAAGAAGGTGGTTTTATGGTGAGGGATTCCAGTCAACCAGGCATGTACACAGTCTCCCTTTATACAAAGTTTGGAGGGTAAGTGATCTCTCTCTCTCTCTCTTTTTTAAATTTACAGTTTTTCTATGAAGTTCCTATATAGTTTGTATGGATTCCTAATTTTCAAAAAATATGCTGCATTTCAGCATTAGCAAAGAAAACCTGAACTTGATTTTTAAAGTGCGCACTATTTTTTATATTCATATTTCAATAATTTTCCTCATACTTTATATGCATATACATGTATGTGTGTGTGTGTGTGTGTGTATATATATATATTTGTTGAGAATGGCTATAGAAATGTTAGTGACATTGAACAGATAGTTACTGTGCACTGAGTTAAGCACTACAGATAGCAAAGTGGACAGACCATGCCCTCCAATGGCTTAGTGGGGGCTTCAGGAGAGCAAACAGTGCGTTAGGGGAGTATATGAGGAAGTGCTGTGCTGGGAGGGCCGTGTGTGTGTGTTGGGGAGGGTGATGGGGAGAATGGGGTACACAGCCCAGGCACATCTGAGTTAGTCATTAATGTTGTCTAGTGACATTCAAGCTGAGACGGGACGGATGAGGTGGGCAAAAGTTGGACAGAGTGGAAAGGATGTTTCATACCCTGGAAACTGCCTGGGCCACGAAGTGAGGGGGCATATGGGGAGTTCCAGGAACTCACGATGGGAGGGGCGGGGTGAGGAGAGGAGAGAGAAGCCCGAGAAATATAAGTGGAGACTAGGTCATGGCAATGTCAAGGAGTCTGCGCTTTATCTTCAGAGTAACAGGAGTTCTCTTTAACAGATTTTTAAGTAAGAGATGACTCCAGAAGATCTGTGTTCTAGAAAGATATCTAAAATAGATTCTATATGTTTTTTATAAGTCTAGTTTATTCAGTTTTAGAGGTGTAAGTTCTCTAAATATTTGCAAGTTTATGCCAACAGCAGGGACTAAGCAATGGCAGCCAGGAGCTATTGTAAGACTTGTAACTGTTGGTGAATGGAGTTGGTAAACCTTCTCTTTCACAGCCTCAGGTAAAGGACCAAGAACGTTATCAGCGACCAGTTTAAAAATGTCCACCTTTCGGTGTGAAAAGCAAAGCTAATGACCATGGGGAGAAATGACACTAGTGCAGCAAATGGCAGGGGCCCCGGAGGGACCGTGCAGTGGCCTCAGAGTGAAGCTGCATGGCTGCCACTCAGTTCTGACACATTTTGATTTTTGTTATAGAGAAGGCTCATCGGGTTTCAGGCATTATCACATAAAGGAAACCACAACCTCCCCCAAGAAGTATTATCTGTCAGAAAAACACGCATTTGGTTCCATTCCTGAGATTGTTGAGTATCATAAGCACAATGCAGCAGGTAAGTGAGCTCTTCACATCGATTTCCAATATAAGGTAGTGGTTAGAATGATCAGACTCACTGTGATGAATTCTTCATTGAGTAGCTATATTTTGTAGTTAGTTGTAGAATGGGTTTGATTTAGAATTATTGCCTATTTGCGAAGTGCCAGATACAAAGAAAAATCAGGAATAATATCAAATCTCATGAAAAGTTCTGCCTGCACCTTAGGACAAGAGTCATTCTCATCATATATGGTAAATGCCGCATTTCTGGGGTTTATAGCCTTGCTGCTGAGAAAGATTCTTTGCTTGAGCAGACTCTCCTATCAGGCTCCTGAACCATAGGCCAGCTGTGCACTTTGCCGTAGAATTCAGTTGCAGCAGAAGCCCTGCTAAGTCAGTTTAACCAGCACCCCTCTACCCAGATATCACCCCTCTATCTGATATCAGGCAATATCTGATGTCTGATCACCCTCAATATCTCATCATGCTCCTCATCGCCCACCAATACCTGAGTGATGCCTGGTCACCCTGGCTTGTCTTCAGCAAGGATCCTGCTGGGTTGGTTTAGCCAAAGCTGCCCACTTCCCTGATCTCTGACGTTCCTCTTAGTGATTTTCCATCCCCTGACCTCCATGCTGTTCCTTGGCTATAAATCCTACTTGCCCACATTTTATTCGGGGTTGAGTCCGCTCTCTCTTCCTCATTCTAAAATCCCATCTGTCATCGTGGCCCTGAGTGATGCCTTCCTTACCATCTTTGAAAGTGTCATTGAATTTTTTTTCCTTTAACAGTAATAAACTAAAATCTAAGTCATAGGTGGCAAACACAAGGCCCGCGGGCCAAATCTGGCCCTCCACCTTGTTTTATCCAGCCTGGCACCTTGTTCTACCCAGTGGCAGCACCAAGATCTCACTTAACTGTTCAGGAGTAGTGACATTTACACAGTCCTAAAATTACATTTGGCCCTTTGAAGGCAACCTCGAGGCTGATGTGGCCCCTGGTAAAAATGAGTCTGACACCCTGGTCTAAGATATGTCCATGTCAGAGTGGTCACAAAGCTGCCGGACAGGCCTAGGGTTTGGGCTTGGGCTACAGGCTTCCAAAGACGAGAGTGATTGTGTCCCAGCAAGGCTTCCATCTTCCCGAAGCTTTGCTGCCTTTCCCGGCAGAGTGGGGACAAATCAAACACCACCAACAAAATAGAAACCACATTTTGTGCCCATTGAAGCTCCACAGGATAAGATAGGAAAGATTTCTAGCCTTTGACTTCAAAGATGTACCTGAGCAGGGGATAGCCAAGTGTCTAACCCAATTTATGGAAAATTAACTTCTGAGATTTTATCAAATGTACCTTTTGCAAAGGTTGTTGCTATTTGTGACTCTGTTCACTTTTCTCAGATAATGATTGGAACAGTTATTGAGATATAATGTATATAGCATAAAGTTTACCCATTTAAAGTATATAATTCAGCCCTGGCTGGTGTGGCTCAGTGGATTAAGTACCAGTCTGTGAAGCAAGAGGTTGCAGGTTTGATTCCCAGTCAGGTCACATGCCTGGGTTGTGGGCCAGGTCACCAGTAGGGGGTGCATGAGAGACAACTGCACAGTAATATTTTTCTCCTCTTTTTCCCTCCCTTATCCTCTGTCTAAAAATAAATAAAATCTTGAAAAAAAATAAAGTGTACAGTTCAGTGGTCATTAATATATTTACAGAGTTGTGCCAACTCTCACTATAATCTAAGAACACTTTCATCCTCCCAAAAAGAAGTCTTGTAGCCCTTCAACAGTCCAGCGCCAGGCAACCGCTCCCCTCCTCTGTGTCTCTGTGGACCTGCCCTTTCTGGACATTTCATGTGCATGGACCAGACAGTGAGTGCTCCGCTGTGACGAGCGTTTCTGACCTACCACAGCGATTTGATGCTAGGTCTGCACTGTAGCTTGTATCGCCGCTCCATTCCTAATTTGATGAACAGTAAACCAATGTGTGGACTTTGTTTATCCATTTCGTTTTCATTCATCAGCTGATGGACATTTGGGTCATTGCCCCAATTTGGCTATTATGAGTAATGCTGCTATGAATATTTGTATACAAGTTTTGGCATGGGAATATCTTTCATTTCGCTTTGCTACTTACCTAGGAATGGATTTGCTGGGCTCTATGGTAACTTTATGTTTAACATTTGAGGATCTCGTTTCCTATTAATTCATTCTGCCAAAGGACGTTTTCTTAGCTCCTTTTATGTGATTTTCTTGTTCAGTGCTTACATTCCACTATTTCTTTCACCATGATCTGAGTTTGTTCATGTAATGAACTCATGTGCAGTGCCTGGTGCTTGCCAGGAACTGCGCCGGGTTCGGGGGAGGCTGTGGTGGTCCAGGTGGTCATTGATTCTGTCTCTCTGAGGTTTTACCATCCGGCAGGGGAGACAGAGAAGCGTATCACAGTATTAAGTCAGGATAAGATACCCTGTGATAGAGGTGGGTATTCATAGGAAAGATACCTGTCATTTCTTCTTATTTGGTGTTGTGGCAATTTGGATTCAAGGATTTAATGTTCCTCACTAATTTCTAATGGTTGATTTTCCCAGTCTTTGATATTTTAGAGCCAGATTAAAAAAAATTAATTTGTTTATTTCTAGAGAGAGGGGAAGGGAGGAAGAAGGAGAGGGAGGAAAACATCAATGTGTTGCCTCTTGTACACCCCGCCATCAGGGACCTGGCTCACAACCCAGGCATGTGCCCTGACAGGGAATAGAACCAGTGACTCTTTGGTTCTCGCAGGCCAGCACTCAATCCACTGAGCCGCACCAGCCAGGGTTAGAGCCTGATTTTTATGCTAAGATTCCTAATATTGTTATGTCAGATGAATCAATTGTTATTAGATTACTGCTGCTCCCTCTCATAGTTCAGATAGCACATTAGAAAAGGACATGAAATAACAATTATAGTAACTGTTAAACCTTTTCACGTGCTTGAAAATGTTTGAGAAGAGAATATACTCTAGCATGGTGCCTGATAAACACTGTAGTGTTTAAAGAAAATATTTATTGAATGAATAGATGTATACACATGCATATATTTAAGTTTTTAGCTCCATAAACATGTGAAGTCATAGGATCACCTTCTTCCTTCTTGCCTTCTTCTCTTTTTATGTTTTGCCTGCACACAGCACCGAGCTGTATGTGCGCATGGAGGATGGGCACTACGGGAATAAATGAATGCAGCGTGAGTTCCTACTTCCACACGTCACCATGTGGAATGATTAAGAACGAACCTGACTGCGATACTTTCTTTGATTTCTAGGACTTGTGACGAGGCTGCGGTACCCAGTGAGTGCAAAGGGGAAGAATGCACCGACCACTGCAGGATTCAGCTACGGTAACTCAGTCTGGCGAGTTTTCTTTGGAAAGAATCCTTTATCCCAAGGCTCGTTTAGATGTGTAGAATTCCACGTAGTGGAACTGTTTTTATGTTTTCTAGTATGAGTTTTTGGCTGATCATACTTACAGCCTTCGTAACCCTAGGTTTTCTGTTTTCGTCATGTTCGTAATTCATCAGAAACTCTCTGTCAGCGAAACTCAAGCATTACCATGTTACAGCTAAAATGAATCAAAGCCTTTTCCGGTCCTCGCTGGCTTTCTTGGTTACTCACAGGAAAGTAAGGATGGGGGTAATTGATAAGGCATTCAGCTGGATTGTCTTTGTGGCTTCTAGCAAACACCTTCTAAACAGCAGGTTAAATTATTTCCAGCTTGCTGGAATTGGAAATAAAACAACATCAAAGACTGAGGGGAAAGAGTGGTAAAGGAGGAATTTTTTTAAGTACCTTTAACTTTCAAGCTCTGTTACTAACCTGCTGTGCAGCATCTTCTTACCTTCTTCAGTTCACTTTGCTGTACTGTGACAGCTTAGAACGGGGTGCCTCCTCACCCGGAGGGCGGAAAGCCTCCATTCGCTGCTTAGAGGCAGGCTGCAAATTTGCCCTGTTTCACCAGTCATTGTTACCCTGTAACTGTGTGATTGACTTGAGTTATAATTCTTTGTTTCCTACTGATTCGTGTTGCTTTCTCCTTGTTACATGTTGTCTCTTTCCCCTTCTGTCTCACAGAAAAATGGGAGATCAACCCTTCGGAACTGACCTTCATGAGGGAATTGGGGAGTGGACTGTTTGGAGTGGTGAGGCTTGGCAAGTGGCGAGCGCAGTACAAAGTAGCAATCAAAGCTATTCGGGAAGGCGCGATGTGTGAGGAAGATTTCATAGAAGAAGCTAAAGTGATGATGTAAGTTACTGTGTTCTTTTGGGTTCCCCTTTCTGCATTACAAAGCAGCCCCTCGCCGACAGTTGCCTCTGATGGCTGCTTTTCCTGTAGTAACTGTGCGTGCGCATGACTTCTCTCCCAGGAAACTGACACACCCGAAGTTGGTGCAGCTTTATGGTGTGTGCACCCAGCAGAAACCAATTTACATCGTTACCGAGTTCATGGAAAAGGGCTGCCTTCTGAACTTCCTACGACAGAGACACGGTCATTTTAACAGAGATGTGCTGCTGAGCATGTGTCAAGATGTGTGTGAAGGGATGGAGTACCTGGAGAGAAACAGCTTCATCCACAGAGATCTGGTAAAGTATCAACTGCCCGGATGCCCATTCACTGGCCAAATGCTTTTGTAACACTGGGTCGGCAAGTGATCGATGATGCGTCAATACCCAGTGTTTGTTCTGAACAATATTTCACTATTATTTTTAAGCTTGGTAAGTTTGACTTGTGCCACAGTTTTAACAAAGATTTCTTTAAGTCTAATACATGATTACACCGACAATGGTATGAATAAAACATCACTGCATAGGTAACAGGACCCAGTGAGTTATCACGCATACATTTGCGGACCTCCAGAAGAGTCTCATGAAATAGCTAGTCGTGACAGTCTTTCAGGTCAGCTTTACTTTGCAGATAAGGCAATTAAGCTTTAGAGACATGAAATGACTTGCATGTGGTGATAAATGAGGAAGTTAAGCTTGACTCATTTTTTAACTACTAAATTCTATACTTTTTTCTACCTCACACACTATCAGCAGAAGCTATGTAACAGAAATCTTTGTTGTATTTTCTTTATCTCTCAAATCCCTGGGAAAAGATGGGAACCTTCCTAAAAATTCCTAAAAATTCCTGTTAATTCCTGAAAATACCAGGAAAAGTCTATCTTTTATTAATGACTCTAAATTACTGTGATAGAGATGTTTAATTTTCCTTCTTTCTCACTCTTTCACCCTCTCTCCCCTTTTCTTTCCTGCTTATTCTTCCCAAATATGTCTGTTTTGAGCATGTTGGTAGAACCATTGGTGCCCCATCCCCTGCAACCACCATTTTATCCTGTTTTTTGTTTTTTTAGTTTTGACTCTTTTCTTAGATTTCACTTGTAAGTGATGTCACGTGGTGCTTGTCTTTGTCTTATGTGCTAAAGGTCCACTCACATTGTCACTAACAGCAGGATATCTTTCTCACGGCTGGATACTGTTCAGTGTGGATATATTCCACGTCTTCTTAACCTGTTCACCCACTGATGAGTGTTTGGGTTGGTTCCGTGTCTTGGCTGTTGTGAATAATGCTGTGATAAGCCGGCTGTGCCTGTTTCAGCAGAATCCTGTTTTCATTTCCTTTGGATAGATTCCCAGAAGTGGAATTGCTAGATCATATGGTAGATGTATTTTTGAATTTTAGAGAACCCCCATTTTGTTTTCCACGTGGTTGGACAAGTTGAAATTCCCATTAATTTACATGTGCAGGGCTTCCCATTTCACCACGTCCTTGCCGGCACCTGTTGTCTCTCGTTGTCCCGGTGACGGCCGTTTTAACAGGTGTGCAGAGGCATCTCGTGGTGGTTTTGATTTGCATTTCCCTGATGATTAGTGGATGTTGAACATCTTTTCATCTTCCTGTGGGCCATTGTGATGTCTTTGGAAAAATATCTAATTAGTTCTTCTGCCCAGTTTTAAATTGGTTTGTTGTTTTTTGGTGAGTTGTGTTAGTTCTTTATATAATCTGGATGTTAACCCCTTATCTGATACTTGGTTTGTGATTTTTTTTCTCTTGATGTAGGTTGTTGTTCCATTTTGTTGATTATTTCTTTTGCAGTGCAAAAGCTCTTGAGTTTGATGTAGTTCAGTTTTCTGACTTTGCTTTTGTTGTTTGTACTTTTGGTGTTATGTCCAAAAAAAATCATTGCCGAGGCCAGTGTCAATGGGTTTCTTTCCTACATTTTCTCCCAGTAGTTCTATGGCATCAGGTCTTATGCTTGAGCCTTTGACCCATTTTGAGTTAATTTTCATGAGTGGTGTGAGATGGGGTTCAGTTTCACTGTTCTGCCTATTTCTCCAGTTTTTCTAACATCATTTGTTGAAAAAGACTATTCTTCCCTCATTGAGTGTTCTTGGCTTTCTTGTGGATATTAGTTGACTGTAAAAGCCAGGATTTACTTCTGGGTTCTCTCCTCTGTTCCACTGGTGTGTTTTGGGGCCAGTACCACACTGTTTTCATGACTATGGCTTTATAGGATAGGTTGAAATCAGCAAGTGTGATTCCTCCAGTTTTGTTCTTTTTTTCTTAGGATTGCTTTGGCTGTTCAGAGTCCTTTGTGGTTCTATACACACTTAGGATTTTTTTTTCTATCTGTGAAGAATACCTTTGGTATTTTGAAGGGGGTTGTGTTGAATTTGTAGATGCTTTGGGTGATCTGGCATTTCAACAGTATTTTTTCCTCTGATCTGTGAATACAGAATCTTTCTACTTTCCACTATTTGTGTCTTCTTTGATTTTTTTCAGCAAAGGCTTGCAGTTTTCACTGTGCAGATCTCCCACTTCCTTGGTTAAATGTACTCATATTTTATCGGTTCTGATGCTGCGTGAACCGGAGAGCTTTCTTTACTTTCTTTTCTGATGCTTCATCACTGTGGAAGGGAATGCCACCCCTGCCACTTCACTGGCTAATCCCAACAGTTTTTTGATTGACTCTGGGATTCTCTGTATGTAAGATCATATTGTCAGCAAATATTGACTATTTTATTATTTCCTTTCCAATTTGGATGCCTTTCATTTCCTCGTCCTGCCTAATTGCCCTTAGCTAGGACTTTCAGTTCTACATGGATTACAGGTGATAAGGGTGGGCAGCCTGGCCTTGTGCCGGATCTCAGAAGAAACCATTTCAGTTTTTCCTCCATTAATCGTGTTAGCTGTGGGTTTATCGTATGTGGCCTCTATGATGTTGGGGTATGTTCCTTCTATAGTCAATTTGGTAAGGGTTGTTATCATAAAAGAATGTTGTATTTTGCTGAATGCTTTTTCTGTGCCTATTTAGATGATCATGTGATCTTTATCTTTTATTGGTGCGATGAATTGCACTTGCAGGTTTGCATATATTGAACCATCCTTGCATCCCAGCGATAAACCCCACTTGGTCATAGTGTATAATCCTCTTAATGTGTTCATAAATCTTGTTTGCTAATGTTTTGTTGAGAATTTTGGCATCTGTATTTATTAGGGATATTGATCTATGGTTTTCTTGTGATATCCTTATCTGGTTTTCCTATCAAGGTCATGCTGGCTTTAGAATGAATTTGAAAGTGTTCCCTCTTCCTCAATATTTTGGAAGAGTTTGAGTCAGATTGGTGTTAATTCTTCTTTAAATATGTGGTAGAATTCACCAGTGACATTTGCTCTGCAGTTTTCTTTGTTTGGGGTTTTGGACTACTGACTCTGCACCTCCTGACTCGCTGTTGGCCTGCTCACATTTTTTCCTGATTCACTTTTGGCAGGTTCTGTGTTTCTAGAAAGGTATTCATTTTTTCTAGGTTATGTAATTTGTTGGCGTTTAATTGTTCATAGTAGTCTCTTACAATTTTTGCTTTTCTATAAATTTGTTAAATTATCTTTTATTTCCAATTTTACTTATTTGTCTTCTTTTTTTTGCTAAAGGTTTGTCAGTTTTATTTTTTAAAAAAACTGCTTCTTAATTTTATTAGCCCTTTCTATAGTTTTTCTGGCTTCTAGCTCATTTATTTCTGCTCTGATTTTTATTATTCCTTCCTTCTGCTAACTTGGGGACTAATTTGTTCCTCTTTCTAATTCCTTGAAGTGTAAAATTAGGTTGTTTATTTTAGGTCTTTCTAATTTTTTAATATATGTACTTAATTACTATGTGGAGCTGTCCCCAGAACTGCTTTTGTTTCATTCCACAAAATTTGATATGTTGTATTCTATTTGTTTTGAGATAATTTTTTATTTCCCTTTTGATTTCTTTTTGACCCACTGGTTGTTGAGAGACGTGTTGTTTAGTATCCACATATTTGAAGATCTACTCACTCTCCTACATAGTTACCTCTTTGTGTGGTGGTGAGTGCCTAGTTTTAGTCTCCTAGCAAATTTCAAGTTTAAATAGGATTTTTTTTGCTATTGAGTTGTATGAGTTCCCTACATATTTATATATGAACCCTTTATTAGATATTTGGTTTGCAAATATTTTTCCCATTCTGTAGTGAGGCAGAAGAGCCCAGGTTTATGCTTGTGTGCACAGTTGACCCCAAACAACACGGGGGCTCGGGGCCCGCTCCTACACCATCCAAAACCTGTGTGTAACTTTTGACTGCCTCAAATCTTAGCTACTAATAGCCCACTGTTGACCAGGAATCTTACCGATAGCAGACACAGTCCATTATCACATACTTTATGCCCTATGAATTATATGTCCTGTGTAAGTAAGTGGGCCTGGGCAGCTCAAGCCTGAGGTGTTTAGGGGCTGCTTTGCGTTGGAGACATTTCCACAGGTGTCGACTGGTGCACACTGAATTTAATATGAACAGAACTTACATTTTTCTACTTTTATTGTGAACTTTGTAATTAATACACGATTATAATGTTGTTTCCCAGGCTGCCAGAAATTGTCTAGTAAATGAGGCGGGAGTGGTGAAAGTATCTGATTTCGGAATGGCCAGGTAAGTCTAAGTGTATGTGAGCATTTTCTGTCGGCTTTGGGTTGAATTAATGGGAGTCTGTGACCTTCCCCTTGGAAGTGCAGAGAGCCTGGCATGTTCTTTGCAGTTTGGTGTGTCAGCTTCTTCCTCGAAGCCTATGTCAGAACAGTTTTAAAATCACACATTCTGTTACATTAACAAAATATTAGCAGTACCCATAATTTTTTATAGAGGAACTAATTGATTTTCTGCTTCTTAGTCTTTCTGGTATAAGGTAGCAAATTACTTAATTTTTGGAAGATTTCTTTGCTGAATGTATCCATTACTATTAGTTAGCTTTGGCTTTTTCTCAGGTAAACCGGTTGTTGAGAAGTTATGATTGCTTAATGCTCTATTATGTGATATTCCCATTAGCTTGTCCAGTGAATAAGCATGGCAATAATCTGTTCTGAGACCGATTTCATTAAAATAAACGTCTATTCTGTGTTGTTGTTAACTCTCTCCACTAGGTGGTGGTATAGCCTGTTAAACACACTTTTTCTCCACTCCCCCACCCCTGGGGTGGACTAGATGTCTAGAATTTTTTGTTTTCACAAAAATCTGTTTGGGGATAAAGTTCTTAGAATACCCAAATCTGTAGTGTTTTTATTTGCTTAATTTTTATCATTTTGATTTGTATTTTAGTGTGTCCTTCTTTCCCTCTGTCCATTCATTCATCCGTACATCCATCTACACGAAATTAGGTGCCTACTGTGTGCTCCAGGCACAATGTTAGACTGAACCATAGCAGAGAGTCCCAGCCCACATGCGGCTTATCTTCAAGAGGAGGGCAAAACGTGGGACCTAAGACCAGCAAACGGGGGGAACACAGTGTCATGACAGAGCAGGGGCCAGTGACTATGTTGTCCAGGGCAAATCTGACCCATCTCATTTTGTATGGTCTGAGAGCCAACAATGGTTTTCACATTTTTACATGGTTGGGAAAAACATTAAAAGATATAACACGTGAGAGTTATCTGAAATCCAAGTGACAATGTCCACAAGTAAGGTGTTCCTGGCTCAAAACCTCCCTCATGAGTTTATGTTTGGCTCTGGCCACTTTCACCTCACAAAGGCAGAGCTGAGGAGTTGAGGTGAAGACCCTCTGGCCTGCATGGTCTAAAACATTCATTCTCTGGTCCTTTCCAGAAAAAGTTTGCCGGCCCCTATGATGGAGATATCTTAGGGCTGGGGTGGGTGCTGAGTGATGGAGTGGGGTAGGGGTGAGGGTGGTTGCTTTCGATCTGGTACTCTGGAAGACCTGAGACCTGGATATTTGAATGAAACCCAAAAGCCAGACCATAGCCAGTTTGGAGAAAACCTGAGGATAAAGTATTCCAGGTGGGAGAAACAGCAAACATTAAAGTTTGAAATCTGGGACAAGCTTGGCCTGTGCAAGGAATGGAAGGAGCCAGGGTGGCTGGCCCAGTGTCGGCACAAAGAGCAACCATGACCAGAGGCAAGGACCAGGTCACACAGGTCAAGTTCAGCTCCTAAGGAAACTCAGGACCAGGGAAGTTAGCTGTGTTACTCTCAGACATGGGACCAGAACTGCCGACGATCAGTGCTACTTGTTTGCTTTGTATAAAGACGTTCTGTATCTGACAGGCAGTCCTTCAATATTACATGTTCAGTCTTCATAGGGTTGGCTTTCAGAAAATCTGTGCTTTTGTGTCAGCCTCTGTAAAACACTCGTTATACACTAAATTCAGACTCCCCTGGTTGACAAACAAATTGCTCCAGCCCATGGTGGCATTGTCACCATCTTTGTCTGCACAGCCAAGGAGGTTTGTGCGATTATTTGAATATTTTCCCAAGGAACTTTTAGAAGTGACCTCTGTGCGTTCATATGAGACGCAAACATATTCCTCTTGTGAACACACGCTGACCGCCTTATGGGAAGGGCTGAGGTCCTCGTACATACCACTCCAATCAAGGATTCTCCCAAGACATAGCCAGTGTTATCAGTTTGTGTGTGTCCTGTTAGGGAGATTATTGAAGTATGCTCCCATAGAAACGTTGTGTAATACGGGTTTGAGTGTGTGCATGTACGTGTGTGTGTGTTTAGGAGCAATGTCATGGTTTATAAGCATATACTCCACCATTTACCTGTGTCCCTTTGCAATTCGATTTTTTAATTTGCTGCCGTTTTTAACTGTGCTCTGTGGAATTGTGGGGGCTGAAAACACGTGTGTCCCCAAGTGCTTTTCACCACTTCCTTTGGTGCAGCTTTGCTTTAGATGTCTTACATGTGGGCCCTTTGGGTACAACTTTGTTACAAAACAGCATGCAAAAAAAGTTGGCAAGCTGTCTTATTGTATTCTGCCTCTGTTGCCTATTACAAAAGGAAAACAAACAAGAATGAAAGTATAGCCAGTATGTCACAGTGCGTCCATTTCCAGTACCTCAGTGGAGCAGAGGTGGAAGTCACCAGGCGTGGCCACCGAGGCAAACATTTAGCTTCAACAGGATGCTTGTTGGACTTCAGTCAACTGTGTTTTGATTCTAAGGAGGAAAAATTTAAACAACACGTAAGAAAGGCAGACCATAACCCGAGGTGTAAACCTGTGGTGCGTCTCACTGCAGGTACGTCCTGGATGATCAGTACACAAGTTCTTCGGGTGCTAAGTTTCCTGTGAAGTGGTGTCCACCCGAGGTGTTCAATTACAGCCGCTTCAGCAGCAAGTCAGATGTCTGGTCGTTTGGTAAGACCTGGGGCCTGTCTTTACTTAGCTCTGATGGAGAGGAGGTGGGTTCCTCACTCGGTAACCCTCACCCTTTTCCAGGTGTCTTAATGTGGGAAGTATTCACTGAAGGCAGAATGCCCTTTGAGAAGAACACCAACTACGAAGTGGTGACCATGGTTACTCACGGCCACCGACTCCACCGGCCGAAGTTGGCGTCCAAATACATATATGAAGTGATGCTGAGGTGTTGGCAGGAGGTATAGAATTTGGGGGAACTTTAAAAAAATTTCTAAATCACTTATGGATCTGGGCTTGGTAGATTAATAATGTGTAGCCTTTATAGCGTAGTGAGTTGGTGCGTGTGTTTCGCGATTTCAGACTCTTTGGAGGAAGCCAGCTCTCTCCGCCCAGTTATGGATGCTGGGAAGGAGAATGTGAAGAAGTGGAAAATGCGAATACTTAAGATAATGAATTCAGGCTGCCCCACTCCCAAGGGAGAGTCCTGCCACAGCTGCTTGAGTTCGAGACTCAGGAAATAAGCCTGGGGTAGTGGTTCTTGTTTCAGTGGGGGTCTCATATGGTGGAAATACTACTCCTTCACCAGAGAGGTTTCCTTTCTCCCAGCCTCAGTTTTCTCATGTCTTTGTACTCACATTCTTTGGAAAGTTTTCCTTCCCCGTATTGAAATGTCACGAGAATGACTTTTGAAAGATAATAATAATAATACTTATTATTAAAGATAATAACATTAGCTCGCAGGGATTATGTGTAAGATACTGTACTAAATGCTTTAGATTTAGTTCTCAAAATAACCCTTTGAGGTGCAGGTACTGTTACTGGCACCGCTCTGGGGATGAGAACACCGAGACTCGTGAAGTCGGTGCTTGCCCAAGGCCACTTAGCCACAGAGAACCAGAGTCCTATCTGATTCCGAAGCCCACGCCCCCTGCCATTTGCTACAAGCCTCCTAAGAGCATGGACTGGGATGGGAAGAGGCCTTCTGGCCAGGAAGTGGCACAAGGGGGAGAGAGGACAGCATGAGCAAAGGCAAGAAGGCAGCAATGAACTTGGTGTATGTACCTGAGGGTGGAGATTGATTTGATTGGGCAGAGAGCCCATGTGAGTGTTTTTCTGGGAAATGAAATTAGGTAGCAAGGAGGTAGGGGATGTGCAAATTCACCACACTTGACTTTCAGGCAGTAAGGAGCTCCGCCAGGTTCTCGAATGGGGGCAGGAGAGCAGTGTGGTGGGAAGCTTGGCCTACCGGCCCTACGTGCAGGATAGATGAGACCCACTGGGAGACGCCTGCATGTTCCAGTCCCAAAGCAGCGAGCGCCTGGCTCCGTGTGTTGTCGTTCAAGTTTGGGAAATCAGTTTTGGAATGGATTCCGGAGCCCACAGCCTCTCTTTGATTTTTAATTATAGAAACCAGAGGGAAGGCCTTCCTTCGAAGATCTGCTGCGCACGATAGATGAGCTAGTGGAGTGTGAAGACACCTTTGGAAGATGAGGAGTGTTGTGATCCAGATTCCAAAGCACAAGGAAGAAATGGCACTTGGTGGCTAACTTTTAATTTATTTAGCACTTGGATGTCTAGATTGTTTTACTTACAAAGTAACAACACCTAAAGCATCTGCTTTGGGACCATCCTTAGCTGCATGACTGAATCTTCCAGATTATGGAGATGCTGCCTTAGAGATGCTGATTAAAAGCGCTCTTATCCATTCCACGGGGCTTGCGTGCCCACCATGGGGCCGTGTTAGCTGCTGCCAGTGGAAAACCAGGGTATTTGGGAAGAGCAAGGACGTTAGAGCCGTGTTCCAGCACGTCTCCTCCCTTTAACTTCTACAGAAGTCTGGGCCTGGGGTGCTGTCTGGAATGTGGGTTCTGTAGGAACCAGGAACCACATTGGATAGGTACCCATCTTTTATTTTGAAAACATCTGTTTTCAAGACTGCCATTAGTATTATATTACAAAACATTTGTATGCTGTACATATTGTAAATATATATAATATATAAAGTTATATATTTATAAGAAACATGAGTTGTCCTTTAACCGAAACTTTGAATTCTGTAATATATGCACTAATCTTTTTACGACTGGGGGTGGTGCCTTACAGCTCCTAACTCCTTTTCCCTGGAAATCAAATATTCCGGTACCCAAGCAAGAAAAGTACGGCCTCTCTGCCGTTAATGCCCGCTCCTCACTCAGGTGGACGTGTTTGGGTGCGTGAGCAGCCGCGGGCCCTGCAGGGCCCGTGGGTGGACTGAGCAGCCCTGCTTATGGCGTCTGCCGCTGACCGGGCTTAGGTGGAAAACTGAATGGCTGGTGATCAGTCAGTTTCTGCAGCTTAAGAATCTGCCCCAGGACACAGAGGCTGTGAGTGAGGGGCTGGGCTTTGGGACGGAAGGATCGGGTGGCCTTCGCAGCAGAGGCAGCCCCGCTGTGAGCTGTGAGCGGGAGCAGGAAAAACGCAGGGAGTGCTGTACTGAGCTGTCTCCCATGGTTTTCAGGAGGGTTTCGGACTTGGGCTCCTGCATCTGAGAGACTGCCCGCCAGAGCCTCTCACTGGGCCCTATGATCCAGTTTGAGTGAGTGAGTTTCTGACTCTCACAGTCTCTGACTTAGACACCTGCTGGGTGAGAGTCTTCCTCCTTCCTCATGCGACCAGGGGAGAGAAATGGTCGCCCTCATCAGGAGCAGAGGCCAGGTGGGTAGGAAGCCGAGGAAGACACGGGGCCTTTCTCCAGGATTCTGTCCGTTCTGGGGACAGCCCTGCTGTCTGTCCCCTGTGCTGGAGAGCACTGCGCGAGTGGCCCCTCCGCCATGACTCTGGGGAACCATCTCTCTCCCTTTTGGTCTTTCAATCCACCGAAGGCTTCTTCTAGCTTTTCCGATCCCTCTTACAATGGAAAGAAGTAGAATATCTGTCTGAAGTCTGCCACAGTCTTGTTGCCACCTTCCTCCTCATCTTCCTGTTTCACCATACCCCTGTCAATTCGAGTCATCTGCTGCTGTTATTGTCACACTTTTCTCCTCCCTTCCTCTCTCACCTGAACTCCTCCCTCCCCCTCTGTGGCTCTCCCCCTCCCCCTCCCCTCCCTCCTTCCCTCCCCCCTCCCGCCCCGTCCTTCCCATTTCACCGTGAGGAGCTGTGTTCCACGTGCCCAGTGGTGCTGAGGAGAGTGAGGAGGAGCGCAGTCCTGGCACTGTCACATTGACGATGGTCGTGGAAAACAAGGTAATACCTGGCAACATCCGGAAAATTTCCCAAATGTTGGAAAATGTTGGCAACATCTGGAAAATGTTTTCCAAAAATCTTTAAATGTCTCAGTAAAACTTTAAAAAAAAGTTTTTACGTAGAAGCAGAACTAAGGCAAAAGGTAAAGTAAAAAGAGAAGCATCCACCCAGAATGCTTAGAGATCTTAATCTGTAAAGCAGGAAATAGGAAGGGCAATGCGAATGTGCTGTGTGTTCATTAGACTTGGTCCCTTTAGTTCTAGTACAGTTTCCTTTGTACTTCCCAGTGGGATGAAGGAGAGCGCCTGGGTGCACTTTGTATTGTCGTTTTTATGTTTCTTGGCCAGTCTCTAGTCACCTTTTCTGTGTATAATTTTATTGGTTGCATGTCCCCCACCCCCCACAAAAGGCTTCCTCATATGGTCCCTGAAGTGTCTGTACCTAGAGTGAGGCTTTGTCTTCCCAAACCCAGACTCTGTTCTGTTCCTGCCACCGTGTCCCTTGTCCTCTGCTTCCCTTTCCTTCTCTCTCCAGGAGGACAGTTTGAGTTGATGGTTTTTCAGGTCCCTTTTACCAAAATTCTGTGATTTCTTGAAAATGCTGTTTGCTGGAGTTGCCCACACAGTTGGGAATGAGAAACGACGTGCCCCGCCCCCCAGAGGTCTGGATGCAGATTGGGGCGCTTTCTGATACAGGCCATTGGGCTGTCAGTCACACACCGCTGAGGTTTCAGAACAGGAAAATAGGTGGGGCTGGCGTGGCCCATGAGAAGCACCGTGGGTGAGCTATGACTTCAGTAGAAAGATGTGTGTGTGTGACCGGAGCGCCGCTGCAGGACAGAGGACGGTGTCGTCTGGCCGGGGCCGAAGTGCAGCCATGATCCTCTCCACCTGTAAGTGAGGGGCCTTGTCCTTCCCCCCCGGGCGGCTCTGGGCGTGCTCCTCACCCTGCACACCAGAGGAGGTCTTCTCTAAGGCGTGGTAGGGCTTGTGACATTTGGAGGACAGTTTCCCCCGAGGTGACCAGGGTTTGTTTGTTATTTACAGAATCACTGTGGTGATATCATTTTAGTAAATGTTCACCAGTGAGAAGGCAAAAGAAAGCAAAGCAAAAGCAGTGTCCTTACATCTGTAGAGAGGCGGCGTGCAAAGTGTTTTTAGAAGGATGTCTCGTGTGGACGGCTCAGGTCGGGAGGTGAGGGGCCCGTGTCCTCGTTCTGGACCTGCCGCAGCCTAGGCGGGCCACTGGCGGCGACTGCTTTATGTCACTACCTGGTGACATAAGATGGTGACTGTCTTTTTGCCTGCCTTCCAACAAGATATCACACAGAAACAATAGATTAAAATGACAGACAGGTTCGTCCTGAACTTAATTTTGGAGTTGCTTTGGAAGACTGTTCAGTCCCTGTGCAGTTTTGGGAAATGCTTATTAGTGTAGCTCTCTGACTCAGAGGTCCTTATCATGCAAATATTTAAAAGTAGGGAGAAAAACAGTCTTTGATTTTGATTCTGACTAAGGAACCAAACTTCAACAAAGCTCTGTTCCATCAGATGAAAGCAATCAAAGGCCAGCTAACAAAGTTTTTATGTTTCTGATTTTCAAGTGGCAATAGGAAAAAGTGATTGCAGCTTTAAAATGTTATCTGCCTGGCCCTGGTTGGGCTCACTTTCCGGTCAGGGCACATACAAGAAACATCCAATGAATGCATAAATAAGTGGAACAACAAATTGATGTCTCTCTCTCTCTCTTTCCCTCTCTCTCTCAAATCAATAAATAAAAAAATGAAAAAAATGATATTATCTGTTTACACCAAATCACCTCATAGGACCCAACCCTTGCCAGCAGCATTTGTAAAAAAATAAATAAATAAATCAGGTTGTTCCATTTGCACTGATCTGCATATAAGTTAGGGTCTTGATCTTGTCGTAGATAAAAACGGGGCCGCCTACTCTCAGAAGCACAGGCCAAGCAGAGCAAGGCAGAAACAGCACAGAGGCAGCAACCTCTCCCCCCCCCCCCCCGTGGCAGGACAGAGATGAACGGTAGCTTCATAAAAACCCGTTTATTAAAAGCTACGTGAGCATCTGTTCTTCATTGCTTCTGAGGTCAGGACTAGAGAAGAGGCAATAAATCACCATAGGAAGGGTTCAGTTCTGTGTAAAATAAATAAAGGTGAGGGTTAGGACAGGGACCTCTGATTGCCCAAGGGATGAAATAAGTGACTACCTATCGGTGGGGTGATTCTGAGGATCTTTCTGTCTGGCTCGGAAGGACATGAATTTGGCCGACTCTCACTGTCCCTCTCAACTTCTGATCATTTAATTTGATGGTAAGAATGACCTCTTTTCTTCTGCTCTAAACTGCAGCTGGACGTGGCTCTTTCTTTTTGCTGGGTGGAGCCATGAGTATTTACTGTTGACATTAGAAAGCTAAGACAAGCCTCAAAGTGTATTACTATGAATCAAAAAAAAAAAAGTTTGTCTGTGTTTGCCAGGCCAGGGGCATGTGCCAGATATGTTTGTTGCTTCAAGGGCTGTCTTAGAAGGCTGGCCTTGGAGTCCACTGCAGGGCAGGGGCACATGAGTGAGACATTGGTCCTACTGAATGGTGGGGAGAGCCCAAAAGAGGCATCAGGGCACTGCTTCAGCGGGTGTCATTTGTGCGAGGGTCTGTTTGTGAAACGTAACCCATGTTGCTAGGCTTTCTACCAACTACCAGTTGCCCCGACAACAGCCCCAGCCCAGGAGCCTTAGAGGACAGGGGAGGGTGAAAGAGCTGGGGGCTCGAAGAGCTCCCCTCTTTACTCCCCTCCACCTCGTTTTCATCTAAGTTCTCTGCCTTTCTTTTCCTCCCAATTTATAAAGGAAAAAGATAATTTATATAAATGGTTCTTCAGTCTCAGCATGTGTAAAGTATGCCTGGGATGCTGTTGAAATGCAAGTTTCTGGACTCATCTGCATACTCTGCAGAGTGAGGTCTGGACCCCTTGATCACAGGTTTTCTGGGGCCTCTGTTTTTAAAGCCTTGTCTTGTTCCTTATTGCGTGTGATTCCCACACCAGCCCTGCTAAGTTAGCATCTTCCGTTGTTACCGCGAATATGAAGACGAACAGGGTAGCTGCCCAGGGAGGCGCTAAGATGGTCCCCCGTGATGACCACCCCCGGTACCCACACGCTGCGCACTCCCTCTCCTTGAGTGTGAATCAGGCCTAGTAACTTGTCATGAATGGAATATGGTAAAAATGATGCAGTATAATTTCTAAGACGAAGTTGCAAAAATACCATGGCTTCTGCCCTAGTGCTCTTGGGCTGTCTCCTGGGTCACCTGCCATGCCGTGAGCAGCCTCTGGAGATTCCCCATCGTGAGAACCAGGGCACCGAGGCCTGCTGACTGCAGTGTGAGTGAATTGGAAAGTGGATTCTCCAGCTCGGGGCAGCTAAGCTGTGCCTGGATTCCTGACCCACAGAAACTGCGAGACCATAAATGTTTCACGCCTTTAAGTTTGGGGAGAGTTTGTTTCCAACAATAGATAACTAATTCAGTGGCAAAAGGAGAAAGAGCCATAGGCCACCACTTGGACTCAGGCTAGAGATAAATTCTCAGAGAATTTCTCAGTGTTGATGTGAACATGCATATACGGGTCTTTTCTTTGGTTTGTAAATCATTTCGCTGTTATTCCCCTGCACTGCCTATCATAATTATGGTCACTGTAGCCACTGTGTCGCTGCATCGGTGAGGGTTCCATGTCTTCTCGTATGCTGGCCTGCAGATTCCCCCGTTGCTCTGAGCCGTGCCCACGGGGCCAGCATCTCCTGGCCACTGCCTGCCGGCTGAGGGGCAGGGAGCGCAGCTTCCAGCACTGTGCTGAGCACACCGGGCAGGGCTGGGGGCCGGGCGCTTCTTCACATCGCAAGCTTAGCCAGATGGCTTCCGTGTGAGTTCTGTGAGCGCTTCAGAAACTCGCTCACAGACAACAGTCTTCTAGGAAATAACTACTCTGAGACCTGGGGGCGGGCGGACTTGTGAGCGGGCTGCAAGATGGCTGCCTGCAGCTCACATCAGCTCATTACCAGGGAGACTTCAAAATTCCTGCACAGGGCAAACAAGGGCTTCAGGGTGCTGGATTGTTCTGGGGCAAGGGGTCGCCTTGGCCAGAGCTGTGAACAGATGAGCAGTCTGCAGGGAGCCTCTGCTTCTCCTTCCAGCACCCGTTGCTCCCAGGAACACCATCTTCCCTGGTGCCCAGTGCCCCCTCCAGCCTCCCAGGTTTCTAGAATCTCCTCGCAGCTTCCTCGCCCTCGGCACCCTTTCAGCCCCAGCCAGACCAAGCACCATTCTCATCTTCCACTCAAATGTATCCACGTATTGTCCCATGAGCTAGGTACCTGTTTTCTCTTAGTAAGCCATGAATTCCTTAATGTAGTTACTACTCTTACTTCAAGGTTTCACAGACAAGGATACTGTTAAAAAACAAATTTGAAATCTAGCATAGGGTTGTTAGCTTATTTTGCCCATAGGTTTAAAAAGATTAACATCTATGGTGACCATCAGTTCCTAGAAGAATGACCATTTCAATATCCAAAAGAAACAAACACACACACAGGGGTGTTCTTTTAGCATTCTTGTTCAGTGTGTCCTTTGAATGTCAAAAGGAGGCATACACACAAAACAAGAATGACCTCCCCGAGCAAGTAGGAATTCTGAGTTCACACTCCAATATATAGGGTGTGAACTCAGGACAGCTTCCTAAAATGAAAAAAAAATAATGAAAATGTTAGTGTTTCTCTCCTCTCCCTCCCCCTCCCTTCCCTTCTTCCTCCCTCATTGGTGTGGATTCTTGGCTTGGCACTTGGAAAGCCTCTTCTGATGCGTAGTTAGAGGCAGAAATCCACACTAAGGAAAGCTAGCTGTGTGTCACACCTCCCAGATGACAGGTTAAATCAATGAAAATGTGTCTGTCTTCAAAGGGCCCTTAAGATAGAGTTCTCCTTGGCTGGTGTGGCTCAGCGGATTGAGTGCCAGCCTGTGAAGCAAAGGGTGGCCAGTTCGATTCCCAGTCAGGGCACATGCCTGGGTTGTGGGCCAGGTTCCCAGTCGGGGCACACGAGAGGCAACCACACACTGATGTTTCTTTTCTCTCTTTCTTCCTCCCTTCTCCTCTCTAAAAATAAATAAATAAAATCTTTTAAAAAGAGAGAAAGTTCTGTGGTGGGAATTTATGACAGTAATGAGGAAGTTTGGCCTTACAGTAAATTTCTAAAGAAAAAAAAAAAAGGCATGTCTTGCAGTGAGCTTAGAGGCTTCACCCAGAGAGCTATTTTCCCCAAAGCCAGGGGGTTTCAAGCTGCAAACGTAGTTGGCACCAGAATTCCTTGCCTTAAAGCCACAACCTTGAGTACGTGGGCGGGTGACTGTCCGGCCTTTGGTTCAGGGCAGCTCTCGAAACTGAGCCAGTTACTCATGTTTTCAAATAAAAATCTGTAGCCATCTGCCAGTTATTGTGACCAAATTCAGAAGGAATGAATTTCACTCGAACCACTGATTCAAAACGAAACTCTGACATCGGAAATGCCAGGGGATGAACACGAGGTTACGCTGTTACATAAACCTCAAAACATCAGAAACGGAAGGTGCGCCACCGGCGTTGCTTCCCAGACAGCATGGCCCGCAGCTTTTTATCAAGTGTCTGTTTGTTGTGCTGAAAGGTGGCCGTGGGAGCCAGTTCTGGGAAGTGGTGCTTCGCACATTCGCTCCCTTCCAGCGCCCCCTGGTGGAAACCCGGCCCCAGGAAGAGCCCTGGTGTAGCCAGGGGAGGGGAAAGGAATGCTAATCGGGCCCAAGGCGCGTGAGAAGAGAAGCAAGCCTTCCCAGAAAAGAACGCAAATACCAAAT